AAACTGCTTTCCAAAATACTTGGGCCTTTTTACAAATCCACATATGAATTAGTATATTTGTCTTTCCACAATCCCTGCAACAATGACTATTCCCTACTTCTGTCTTCTTAGCCAATGTGCTGAGTGTGAAGTGAAATTGAGTTATTATGTTTTGCACAGCTTTTATTATTAAGTGCTTTGGAATTATATTTTATATGGTTATTAACAGTGTGCAATTCTTTTGGGAATTATTTGTTCATATCCTTAGCCCACTTATCCATTGAGGAATAGGTTATATATTTGTGTTAGGTACCTACATATCTCGGATATCAGACAGCAGTCTCTTTCATCAGAAAAACTGGAAAGTGAATTTTCAGTATATGTGGGCACACAAGGCTTTGTAGGAAAAGACAAAGGAGGAAGCAAAGAAGCACTCAAGACCTCGGATGGTACAAGGGGAATCGTGGCTCACCTGGGATTCCACTGCACGAAGAGCCACCACCATTTCCTGGTCTTCAGTTGGCTCTTGAAAGCCCTTCACTAACCAGGTGGGAATCCCAAGCTATAGGAAGAGAAAGAGGTCATAAGAGGTTACCCAGCTCCTGGGGATTATGTATGAAGAACCCAAATATATAAATGATTGAACATCAGCTCATTTGCAATGAGAGCATCTGGGTGAAGAACACCCAGTCATTTTGCTGCCAAAGAAAGCCTGCTCTCATCCTCTCTACCAACAGCAAGCTCATAGAGAGCTCTGTTAATTCTTATTGTCCCATCCCAGAGAAAGACATTTTTTTGGAGAACAGGCACAGGTCCCCAATATCTCTTGCCTGGACTATTGCAATAGCCTCCTACTTGGTCTCCCTGCCTCCAAAGTCCATCCTTAAGAGAACAGTCCTGCTAATTATTAAGGAACAGGTTGACAATGTTACAAGGCTCTGGAAACTCCAGGGGCTCCCTCTTGCCTTTAGGATAAAAGACAAACTCCACTATTTAGCATTTAAAGACCTTCACAATCTGCCTCTAGACTTCTTTTCCAGGCTCAATGCACATACTCTGATTACTGCAAACTGTCCTACTTGCCACAGTCCCTATGGCTAGAATACAATTCCTCCTGACTGCTGCCTCCTAGAAGCCTAGAACCCCAAGCTTCTTTCAAAACTCATTTCAAATGCTACCATCTTCTATAAGAAGTCATTCCTGATCCTTAAGTTGTTAGTGCCTAGCTTTCCCTCCTCTGGAATTACTTTGTATACATCTGATATTGATACCCTTCTCCCAGATGCTCTTGCCCTGCCAGAGTATAAGCTGCTTGAGAGCAGGAAGTGTTTCAGTTTTGTCTTTGTAAACCCAAGGTCGAGGAGTCACACAGTAGATGGTGGTTGAAGTTATATCCCTTACATATGCCCCGCTCATGCAGCCTGAAAATTGTGACTGGATAGTAATAATATCTAACATTTATGTGCCAGGCACTGTACTACGCACTTTACAATTATCTCATTTGATCCTTAAACAATCCTCCAATGTAGGTGTTATTATCCCCGTTTTATCCCCAATAAGGAAACCGAGGTAATCAGAGGTTAGGTGACTTGTCCAGGGTCACACAGCTACAACCCTTGGAAGTAGGTGCTACTGTTATCCCCATTTTACAGATGAGAAAACTGAGGCAAGCAACTTGCCCAGGACGACCCAGCTATTAAGTGTCGGAGTACACATTTGAATTCAAGAATTGATTCCAAGTCCAGCTCTCTATACTCTTCACCACTTAGTTGCCCCCTGGAACATAAGAGTTCAGAAAATAAGAGTAGCCAGTGTTCCCCATTCCTCCCCACACCCTCTTCTTTCTAGGCTAAGTACTCAAATAAATATTGTATAGAATGAAATCTATAGTTCTCAAATGAACTGTCCAAGGTCAAACAGCCAGGACATCAGAAGTTGCACTTGAACCCAGATCTTTCTAACTCCAGGACCGACGACCGTCTGTCCAAAGGCCTCTCAACACTGGAGTCGGTCGAGCTAAAGTTAACAGACACAAAGCCTTCGCCATCTCCCGGTACACGCACAGGAACTCTGCCGGACCTCGCCCTTCCGTATCTTTCCCGCCCCGAGGTATCTCCGCGTGTTCCGGTGGAGGTGGGGAGGGGGAAAGGAAGGCGTGGTCGTGGTCCCGGCCCCTGCCCCGGTCCAAGCCCCTGCCCACGCTCTTATTTTTTCCCTTTTTGGTCGGACGCAAGGGTTTTTTTTTTACTCCTTTCTCTGGGAGGAGAAGGAAGAATCGGTGAACGGCCAGTCCCTCCAAGCGCCAAGGCGGGAAACTGAGGCATAAGATGGGAGGCGCGCTGCGCCTCCACGACCAGGTGTCCAACCCTGCACCTCCTCTGATGGACGGGGCGAGGCGAGCCCGTTCCCCATCGCGCCTGGCCGACAGGCGTAGCACCCCACTCCCAGCTCCCGGGTCTGTCCCTCACCGCCTGCGGGAGCCAGTCGCTAGCGATCCGCAGCCTCGCCGGCGTCTCGGGGACCGAGCGGAAGGAAGCGGAAGCAGCTGGGATTGGAAGGCAGGAGACTACGTACCTGGGCTACGTACCTGGACTACAAATCCCAGGGTGCACCGTGTCTTCCCGCACTCCAGCACCATTTGCCTCAGTTTCTTCTACTGTAAAATGGGGCTAGCCCCTACCTTGAAGAGTTGTTCTAAATACTAAAGAGTATTTAGCACAGTGCCTAGCATATAGAGAGTGCAACATAAATACTTATTCCCTTCTCCCTAATGTCAGGCAAGGCATAAAACAGGGGGCTGAGCTCCAATTTAAAAATGCATTTTCTGTCTGAGAAGAGATCCAACTTGGATTCAAGTTGGAGAGGGATTCCTATGCAGAGATTCATAACATTGTTCTGATAGCATCGAATATTTCATTGCTTCTTGGATGGAAATGGTAACCACTCAAGAGAATATGACCCAATTATACACATGGGAAAAATCAGTGGAGGAAGAATGCCTTTCATCTAGAGGATAATCACCAAATAAATTGGACAACCTGAAGGTCTTAGATTTTGCAAATGGATGATGAGCTTCACGCGGGAGATGGGCTAGATTGCTTTTGGAAAATTTTATGACTCTTTTTAATCATCCTAAACTTGTCTTTTAAAAAAGGCCCATTAAAAAACCAAACCAAAACAAAAAACACCAGCATTCTACTGCTGCGTGTCTGTTTCTGCTATTCATGGTACAAGAATTGAAAAGAGTGTGTGCATGTGGGGGGGGGCAATGGAGAGGTAACCTTTTGGGTGTAAGCTGCAATACATAACGCCAAAGACATTAGGAGGCTTTGAGTAAAATAGGATTTCAAAGAAATATTTGAGCAGAAAAGATGGAGCTGGTTATCCAGCAAGAACGAGGGAAAGCCAGTGGAGAGCCTGTGTCCTATGCTGGTATCCTTATGATGTCCAGAGGAAGCAAGGAAAGCTCGCAGAATGGTAGGTGAAACCTCTGTGGTGAATTTATGAGAGGACATGGACAGGAGTAGCACAGTGTGGACAGACATAACGGAGTGGGAAATATCTGCATCCTTGAGATCACAGACCTAGTTGAGGCTATATTATATTCCCTCACCTCTACCCTGAAGTAGAATGTAATGTCCCAGTGCCAGAATGGCAAAAGTGGAGGCAGGGAAACTGTGCTTTGACTGAATGAATGCCGTATTTCTTTGTCCTTTACATGTTATTGTTAAGTAAACTTCTTCACTGAGTATCAAGAAAAGTGTCTCCATTTTGTTCCGGTCCCAAACCTATACCACTGGACTAGCCTATGTAAGGCCTGGAACAGAACAGAGGCCCATCTGGTCCAACCTCTTCATTTTACAGAAAAGAATCGTGAGGCTGATGGACATTAAGTAACTTATCCAAAGTGATATTTGCCCAGGGTAGTAAGAGGCCGAATGTGAATGTTTTTCTACCTTGTATCATGCTGTCTCCTTCCCTCTCAGGGTTGTTGTGAGGAAAACACTGGGTAACAAGGAGTCCATCTGATCATAGATTTCGAGCTAGAAAGGACCTTAGAGTCCTTAAGAGATAGTCTAGTACAGTCCCCACCTCCAATTGTGGTTAAGTGACTTGCTCAGGGTCACACAGCTGGTAAGGGTCTGAGGCCAGATTTGAACTCCATTCCTCTTGACTCCAGGGCAGGTGCTCTCTCCAGCATGGGCCACCTAGCTACCCCTAACCCCCTTATTTTACAAATAAGGAAGCTTGAGGCCTAAGGAGGTTAAATCACTTACCCAAGACATACAGGTGTTATATATATAACATAGCTTGGATGTTCATTAATGCCAAATGCTCTTTCCCTTCACTAAATCACTGGGAATTGAGAGAAAAAGAAGTCGCTATGGCCTAGGAGCCATCAGGCAAAGTTTTCTTAATGGATGGGATTAAATGACTGGGTCCTTCTCTATTACCGTGTACCTATTGATGCTTTAGGTGGAATATAGGCTTCAAAATTTATGGACAGAGCTGGGATAAATTTTAATCCTATGCAAGGTTAATGATAAAGTTGATTACTATTTGGGACTCAGAGAGCAAAAGGCCTCCAGCTTTCAAGAATGTTCAGGGGAATACAAGTTTTAATCCTTAGGCTGGTTGAGGCAACGCTTTTCAATATCCTAGTAAGCTGTGACACACGTTTCTTATGGCAAAAGGAAAAGATGGAAAGGCATGAGGTATATAAGATACTGAAGAACAAGCAGATGAAGGAAGACTATTGGGAAATGTAGTCAAGGTGAACAGTGAAGTTAACAAGTACTTTCTATGTACCTAGCACTGGGTCTTGAGAAGACTGGAATGGATAACTTGCCCACAGGGAAATGTGTAACTTGTGTGGGGGTTACAAATTCCATATGTGACTTGTAACTTGTACTGGGTTAGAGTAAGATTGGGCCTGGGGAAACCCTACAAGACTCCTGGCAATAGGGCCCAGAGAGTCTTTCGGTTATAGAAGCCTTCCTTTAAAAGTTATATTTTTATTCATAAAAATTCATCGAAGCGCAAAAATCAAGCAATTTACAAAGCACACCTTTCAATGACGAAATTTCTAACTTGATACTCCCAAAGTTAGTACAAAGTAGGAGGAGGATGGTTGGAGTGGGAGGGACCAAGACCTGATGTCTTGGGAGAGTCCGAATTTATCTGGTTGTGGTAAAAGGGAACAGTATAGAGAAAAGTTGTGAGATTGAAAGTCTGAGGGGTCTCGAGTATGAGAGGTTTGACAGGTTCATGTTTAGCATTCAGGAACCATTTTCTAAATCTTCTTGACTCCAGCGCAGGCTTTGACAGCGTCCGGGAGTGGTCCTTCGGGAGGGTGGGCTTAAGGTCACCCATCCAGCCCCCTTTGTTAATAGGTGGCTCTCATTTAATCTGTGTACTCGATAATTTTCATAGTGAACATTATGGGTGATGTCTTTGAGGTCCTGCATATGGGAGCTTGAGAGAGAAAGTTAACTAGTCACTTCAGAACTCTCTGTGCCCTCTTATCCACCCTCCCCTATGCAGCCCTCTTCATTTCAGAGTCCAATTGAACCCAATATTTCTCTGCCCTTCTTTCTACATGCCCACATAACCATCCCTGGTTTCCCTCTTACCGGATGAGCAAGTCTCTCAAGAGAGGGAATTCACAATGAGCCATGTTCTCCACTGGAATAATTAGAAATAATAATAATAACAGCTAACTTTTATCTAGCACGTTAATCTTACAGAGCTGAACAAATTGAGTACGAGGGCTCTTTCTTCCCTAGTATCATTTCATTCATTCATTCAACCAATATTGATTGAGCTCCTAATTATGTTTGAGTCCCTGTGCCAGCTAAAACACTAATCCATCCCTCACTAATGGTTCTTTCCTTTGAAGTTCAACCATCACTAACTCCATAACCTCTATCCTCTCAGAGTCTCCTTTCCCACCTATCTTGCACTCACCTTCAATGATTCCCCATTTTGTCTTCCGGCCAAGGACACATTTCCCATTAACTGTGTGCTCACGGTCTGCCCCAACCACAGCAAAGGGGATCTTCTCCTGAAGGAGTGGTCACAGAATTATAGGATTACAGAATTTCAGCAGCCATCTAGTCCAATTCTATCTGAAAAGGAATCCTCACTACAACACACCCAGTGAGTGGTCATACAACCTCTGCTAGAATGTTTCTGTTGAGATGGAACCCTCTAACTATCTTTTAGAAAATGTCCTTTTATCAAGCCCAATCTGCCTCTTTGCAACTTCTAGACACTGGTTCTGGTGCTTTTCTCTGGAGCTGAGCACAGCAAGTATTCTTCCATTACATAACAGACCTTTGAATAATTGAAGATAACTATTATGTCTTCATTAACTCTTCTCTAGGCTAATTATCCCTGGTTTCTTCAACTAAGTCTCTTACTACCATCCAGGTGCCATCTCTGGCTTATTGATTTTCTTCCTAAATGTGGCACCCAGCATTGAACACAATGTTCCAGGTATATTCTGACCAGGACAATAGGAATCTCACTTTCCTATTCCTGGAAGCTATGCCTTTTAAAGCAGCCAGAGTTTGAAGCGCTCAGTGGGTGCATGGAACGTGGGGTGGGGGAAAAAGTAATTTAGGCATGAAAAAGTCAATGGGGACACTAGTGCATGAGAGGGAGTATTTATGTGTGAGGAGGAAGTCTTCAGCCAGATTAACCAGGAAGAATCAGAACAGTGGGGAAAAGGGTATACCCAGGATTCCAAAGGGAGGAGAGAAGACTGAACAACAGGAAAAAAGAAGTATGATAAATGGTTGTCATTCTCCAAGAGGACCAAAATGACATCACTATGTTGGGGTCAAGTTACAGTGTGTTCAACTGCAGCTAATCGACCAGATAGGAACTTGTGAGGCTCTATTGCAGGTTGGGCACAAATAGTCCATAAGAACATTTGGAGTGGAGATGTCTTTAAATTTGCACATCTCATGCTTCTTTTGAGCTACTACGATTCTGCTTTGCTCACAGAGCACAGCACTTTTTTTGATGCAGGCATGCCATGGGTGGTCCTTTGCCAGTGTCAACCATGTCATGCAATCAATTCCAAAGTTCTTCAGAGAGACCTTGAGAATGTCCTTGTATTGCTTCTTCTGACCACCAGGTGAGCTTCTTCCATATAAGAGTTCTCCATAAAAGTCTTTTAGGCAAACTTATGTTTGGCATTTGAACAACATGGCTAGCCCATGTGAGTTGCACTCTCTACAATAGAGTTTGAATGCTTATCGGTTTAGCTCAAGACAGGAAATGAAAGCCCTTCTAGAAGAATGGCTTAGCTAAGAGCTAGATTTTTAATGGCATGAATTGTCTACCGTCCTCCAAAATGCATTGTCCCCACCAACTCAAGAATGATTGAAATTACAGAACAAAGCTTTTCAGCACTCCAAGCTAAATCCTTCTGGGGAAACTGGGTCTAAGAGACTTAAATTCACACCCAGGAGTGAGTAATTGATGCTTCAGCCTTTCTTGAGAGCAGATTTTAATAGCAGCAAAGAGAACAAGGAGCTATGGGAAATGAAAGGGTTAGGAAAAATGGGTACCATGGGGACTGGAGAAGCAGGCTAAACAGAAACTTTGCTAACTTTACAATGTTGCTGATGGACAGTCCTTGTTTGCCAGTGTCGGGGAGGATGTCTCGTAAACTCCAAAGAGCAGAGATCCCCCAAACAACAACAATAATTGCTGATATTTATTATATGGTTTTAAAGCACTTACAAACATTATTTTGCTTGATCCTATAACTATCTAGGTGCTAAAATTATCTCTATTTTACAGATAAGGAAACTGATACTCATGAGCTTAAATGACTTTTCTAGGGTCACCCAAATAAGAAGAGTCTGAGGTAGGATTTGACTCCAGGTCTTCCTGATTCTAACTTCAGCACTCTGTCCACTCTAACATGCTGCCTTTCATGTTCCCTTTGAGGGTGATATCTTATGGCTTGCTTCAAGCCCCAGAACACTTCTCATGAGATGGTTACTAAAAAGAGATTGATCTAGCTGTCCAAATGGGAGGTAGGAGAGGTGGAGTGAATGAGGAATGCCTATTGCCTATCCAACATATAGTTGTATGAACAGCCCAAAGGCACTTTATCCCTATGCACATCTTGGCCAGGTACTATAACTAGACAATAACCTATAGCTGAGAAATGGTCCACAGTTTAGTAGGAAGAAGAGAACAGGTTGGATCACTCTTGGGAAATTGTGCAACCCTTTGGTTGAACCTCAGCTGCTCAAAGCTAATTTTACTAACACCACTATCTTCCCAGGGATATTGCATGGATGAGAAATCATGGAACAACATGACCTCAGAAGAGTCAAAATTACTGATGACCCAAAAGTCAATGTAAAAATTCATAGTGGGTATATCAAATGGCCACACTGTAAAAGACATCATCAGGAACATGTATGGCTAGAAAAGAAGGTGGACCTGTCTGAGGCATAAAAGACAGGGTTGCTCCAGCATCCATGACATGTTAAAAGAACCAAAGAAAGGCCTGCATCATACTGAATTCTCTCTGGAAGATTCATGGAAAGACATGGACAAGAATTGAATAGGATGAAAGGATGTCATGAGTTGTGAGTTAGAGGGTAATGGAGAGTCTACTGATACAGATGTTATTGTGAATCCATTGAAATACTAAAAGTCCATCCATCCCTCATTCAGAGACACTAAACGTTTGGATTTCTACAGGCAGTCCAGCTGGTCACTACTTTCATTCTCAAAAAGGGTGATGTCTTGACTTGCAGGTGAATTGATTTGGATGTCAGTGAGGCAGAGCTGTGCAAAGTCATCAGCCTCACTCTGTCTTCCAGAGAGCTTAAAGGAAACCATAGAAACCCTCTAGTCTGAGGCTTTCATTTTGTAGATGAGGAAACAGAGGCTGAGAACAGCAAAAGTCACTTGGACAACATTAGAAGGGAACATGTAGAAGCCAGTGCCCCAAATTTTGAACCCAGGTTATCTTACTCTTTGAACTACATCATATTAGTAGATTGAAAATTCTTTGAGAGGGGGACCATGGGCTACTTCCCCAGGGGTCAGGGACTGTCTGGCAATATATTTCAAACTGAATTTAAGGGTAGAACCTATAGAAAAGGCCTGGGCTGGGATGGAAAGTCGGACGCAGAAAGAGAAGCCAGATTTCTGAAAGGATTGCATAGAGAAGAACTGGAATTAGAAACTACCATACATACACATCTCTAAGACAGACCTCTCTTAGGCTGGACAAGGAGGAACTCTTTGACCACACTGTGCCCTTATCATTTGCCCACCTGTAGTACCCTCAGGTTCCTCATGCAAATGAACATAATTTTTTTTTGTGGGGGAGGGGGAGGCAATTGGGGTTGAATGACTTGCTCAGGGTCACACAGCTAGTTAAGTGTCTGAGGTCACATTTGAACTCAAGTCCTCCTGCCTGCAGGGCCGGTGCTCTATCCACTACACCACTTAGCTGTCCCACCATCATTTTTTGCTTCTGAAATGATGGGTTCTGGGTGAGTGTGGTAATGAAGAGGGGTAGGAAGAGGTAAGAAGCTGCCATCTTGAGATGGTTTCCCAAAGCAGAGGTCCCCAACCCTTCAAGTGGTCCCATTACTGTTATCACTTACTCCCTTACCCGGATCTTGTCATTCAAAGCTTTGTCATCTGTGTCTTCATCAAAGCACTTCTGGGGGTAAACAAAGATGCCATTTTTCTTCAGATCCTCCTGAATCTGAAAGAGGCAGAAATTTAACTTCAGTCCTTGTCGGGCCATGGACCCTTTCTCCTTGATATGGCTCCCCACCAAACCCCCAAACAACCCCACGTGAAGCCCTTTTCTGACTTCCCCACCTATCATCCAACCAATCACTTCTCTCCCGGTTGTGGTCTTTTTTCCCACTTATTGATGAAACTCTTCCCTAAGCCTGGGAATGAAGTCTCCTAGTCAGCTCCCTGAACTGGGCAGCATCCTTTTGATGATGGCCCTCCAGATCTGACTCAATGTCCCCTTACCTGCCACCTGAAAGCTTCCCTCTCTTCTAAGGTGAGGCTGTCTGCCCGGGCAATAACAGGAACAACATTTACCACCCGACAGAGACGCTTCAGAAATTCAATGTCTAGAGGTCGAAGGCTAGAGGCAGGAAGGCAAAGGAGACAATGAGCCCATTTTCCAGCTCAAGTCAAACTAGACTCCTCTCTTTACCCCAAACTCTGGTAGTACCTAGAACTTTCAATCAGCAATATTGGCTAGGATTAGGAGGACTGGGACACATGGCCCCTAACAGGCTACTCCCACAAATCATGTGGTATGTCTAATAGTGCCATCCCCTCACCCTACCAGTGGTGGCTTCCCTTCGCTCTCCCCTCACCAGTGCCCTGTGGGAGGCACAAAGTACACACAGATGTGCACTCGTGTGTCAGGGATGTGGTGCTGCCGAGTGATGAGAACCTCTTCCTGTAGGTAATGCTCATACTGATCATTGATGTAGTTCAGGATGGGGTCCCAACTGGGAAGGAAAGGGGAAGAAATAATGGAAAAGATCCTGGGGATCCCATCCAACCACCCCTACCCTGTTGATACATAGTGAGGTTCTTTGGAATCCCACTTTCCCCACCCCCCCATTATGATTATCACCAACAACTTAGAGTTGATTTCAAAGGATACAAAATAGTCTAAGACCTGGTTCCCTCCCTGAAGGGTATAATCCAGATGAGAAGGGACATACAGAGACAATAGCAGCACAAGGTAGCCTTTAGCAATAGTAGTAAGAGATGAGTACTTTAAGATTCTTGAAGAAGTGATCAGTGAAGCTTGAGTGGTTGGGCGAGTCTTTGTGGAGAAGGTGGACTTGAACTGGGCCTTGAAAGATAGGTCAGGTGCCCCACAGCCCTTTCTCACCCTAACGACAGGGACCCTAAAATAGCTGCCCTCACTAAAGCAGAGCTAAACTCTACCAGCCAGCCATCTCTGTTTGTGAGTAGGACAATGGTGGAAACGCTTCTGTGTCAAGGATTGGAGATAGGACAGATGGAGGGATGGCAAAGGGTGAAGGAATAAGGAAAGGGAAAGAGAGAGAGTGTGGAAAAGGGAGTTCTCCCATGCTTTAAATAGGGATAGGATTCCCAAGAAGAACATACCACTTGTCATTGTTGATCTGGTCCCCAAATCCAGGTGTGTCTGTCACTGTCAGCTTCAGTTTCACCCCCTTCTCCTCAATTGCTATGAAGGGAGGGTTGGGGAGCATCGTAAGGGGACCTCAAACTCTGAGGAGCCATCAGGACCAGAGGAACAGTTGAAGGAGGGGGTTTTAGGACAGTTTTAGGAAGTTGGGGTAATTCTTCGTAGGTCCATAGGGTAGGGGAGATAAGGGGGGGTACTCACTATGGGTAACAGATTGCAGTTGAAGGGTTTGAGGTAAAGGCCCCAACTTGTTCACTGGTGATGATTTCCACACCTTGGACTTGAACAAAGTGTTTACCATTGTAGACTTACCCAATCCACTCCTCCCTGGGAATATACCAGAAGGACACATTCATGAATATTGGGTTAGGGAGGGAGTGGAGATACCTAATGGAGTGAAGAGCAGAATGGCCTGCATGGTCACAGACTAGGTTATGGTCAGGTCACTCTCGGGGTATGGTTGGAGGCAACATGGTACAGTGGAAAGAATGTTGTCTTTGGAATCAGAAGACAGTTCAGAAAGTGCCTTTATCAGGTAATACCTGTATGGCAAGTCACCTAACCTCCAAAGACCTGTTTCCTCATCTGTAAAATGGGTGGGTGGGGTTAAACTACAGAGTCTCTGAGGTCTCTTCAAGATATAAACCTATGCTCCTATGACCCTCAAAAATATAAAATCATAGGGGCAGCTAGGTGGTGCAGTGGATAGAGCACCAGCCCTGAAGTCAGGAGGACCTGAGTTCAAATTCTACCTTAGACCAAACACTTGACACTTACTAGCTGTGGGACCCTGGGCAAGTCACTTAATCCCAATTACCTAATATATATATAAAATCGTGAAGGGAATGGTTATAGGGACATAGCGTTTATACAAGTTGATGAATGGCTTGTAGACCACAGAGTGGAAGAGATTTGAATTAAGGGGAATGGAGGGAGCCCTGAATTGACTCTATCTTGTTTCTTCTCCTCTTCAACTTGTTTTTATTCCTCTCTTCCTCCCAACCGCTATGGCCACTCATTCACTTTTGCTCACCAACAACCATGATGTTGAATTCAAAACCAGTTTTCATGGCTTTGATCTTCAGCTGGTCCAGCACAGCCTCAATCCCCACATAGCCAAACATCTCACAGGAGGAAGTCCTGGGGCTGGAAGACTGTGAGGAGTGGGGAGACATGGAACGCTTCGAGGTCCCTGCCATGGCAGGAGGTCTGTGCAACCAGTCAAGCCCTGTTGTCGTAGGGGAGGGAGAAAGGTAGTTTGGCTTACAACTCTGTAGCAAGGCTGAATCACGATCCCTAAATTTTGAGGCCTTATCCTTCCTTTTTATCCCTGATCTCTGACACCTGATTCCTAATTGTGCAAGGTATACTATACCTTATAAACACTAGCTGATTGTCTGAAGTTCTAGAAAGTGTTGGAATAGGGGTAGATTATAAAAGATAGAAAAAGAGATATGGCAGGGAGGTTTGGGTAGGTTAGTGGATTAGTGGAAGAAATCCCTTCTTTTATGACATGCCCAGCTAGAGAGATATCACTACTCCCATTTCAAGGAAGAGGAAAGCCTGAGCTAGTAACTGCCCCATTTCTGCACTCCTCTGCCCCCAATAGGCTATTGCACAGGGCCTCAGATGCACTGATCATGGGCACTGGTTGCAGGCTTGATGTTTTCTTTGTAGATACTCCCACTAGTACAGTCAATGGTCAATGTCTAGGCATATTCCAGTGTTACATATTCCAAATATGTATATGTTATAGTAGAATGTAAGCTTCTTGAGAGCAGGAACTGGTTCACATTTGTATTTGTATCTCCAGTACTTAGTACGTCACCCAGCATATAGTAGACACAATAGATACTTCTCGATTGATTTGGGAGCACACTCAGTTTGGAGAATGTACCTTGGCCTGTGGGTGAGTGGGGAAGGGGTGATTTGTCCCCAGCAATGGAAAGGTGACAGCTCACCTTCAAGTAGTAGAAGTAGGACTCATCAAGGGGAGACTCTTCCTGACCAAGAATCCATTTAGCCTTTTGGTGGTAATAGTTGGGAAGATGAATAAACAAAGAAATTAGATAATGAAAAAGAGAGAGAGATAAACAACCAGACAATGAGAGAGGCTTTAGAGACCCTGAGGCAGATGAGAGCTAGGGGCAGAAAATGACCCACACCAAAAGAAAGACGCAAATAGGAGACAGAGACACAAAAAGATTGACCTATGGGAGAGACAGAGACACAAAGACAGTGACAGATGGAAAAGAGAAAGACAAAGCACTGCCCTCTCTTGGTCACCTGGCCCTGGTCACTCTGTAGGGAGCCAGATATGGAGGCAGGTCACCCCGATCTCTGAGGTTCAGTGTATGAGTGTGGTGGGGTGGGTGGGGGAGTAGATGACAGTTAACTGAAGAATCTGAGTTCTTCCTGTCCCCTTCCCCCCTTCTTATGCGTCTCCTCTGCCCCCCAACCCTCCACAAGAACCTCCCAGTCTAGGACTCTCCTGCCATAGGAAGCATCCAAGTTGGATACAAGGTCAAAGTTTGTTTAGGATAGAAACGCTATAAAGAGTACTGGGCATCTAGTCAGGCCTCTTTGAAAGGTGCATGCCAAGTAGCATCTGTCCCATAAGTATGCCGGCAGAATCTTGGTGTAGTGGAAAGGGTAATGGATATAAAAGCAGGAGCCCTTAGTTTAAATCTTAGATTGGATATCAACTAGCTGTGTTACCTTGGAAAAGTCACTTCATCTCCACGTTATTTTTCTCATCTATAAAACGAGAGGGGATGGACTAGGGGATTTCAAGAGTCCCTTTCAGATCTAAATCCATGATCCTAAATGAGAGCAGAGAAGGTTTGAGGTAGCAAGTTAGGAAGTCCTCATACTCTGATCTTAGTCTCTCTCTTCCAACTAGCCCCTGCTCCCTCTGTAAGTTCACTTACTACTCCAGTCCACTCCCCTTGGTTTTAGTCCCAACTTCCCCCCCACCCCAAAGAGAAGTCCCTCAAAAAATAAAATGGAAGCCAGGAAGAGACACTTGGGAAATTTATCTGTGGAAATATTTCAAAATGCTTCTCTTCTTCATAACGAAAACTCTTTATGAGAAAATTATAAGATAAAAGGGACAGTAATGGAAAATATGTCTATGAAGAAAAACAGCTTCAGTAACACACCAATCTTAATCTTTGTAAGAAACAGAGGTCATAGAAAAGAACAATATGTACATATTCATTGACTACAATGTAAATAAAGTTAGTACTCAGTGACAACACATTTTGAGCCAAATATAATGTTCAATGTTAGTGTTAGTTACAATGGCAGGTGAAAGATGAAATGACAAGGAAGCAAAGGTTATCTTCTGAGCATCTCGATTTATTAAGCAACTCATGGCAACTGCCTAACCAACCAGGACCAGACCTCCTCAGCTTAGGTCTGGACCCTGAATATAGGAGGAGACAGACTTTTTTATACATTAAAAACAACTAATTAATCAAATAAGGCCAATTATGAATAGGAAAAAATTCAACATTGGGTCATCTGATTTCTAATTGGTGGAAAAATGAGAGATTTTCCAAGTTGGGAGGGGGAGAGCAAACAGGTGCAATTTCCTGAATTCAGAAAAAGAGAGTCCCACTCCCCAAAGTGTCTATAAACAAAGAAATATGGAAACTATTGATTGATCAGTCTGGAGCCACTTTTCAGACAAGACATATGGGTTGTTTGAGATGTAAAATTGGGAGAAAACTCCTTGCATTAATCTTTGGATCTGACTTTCGGAGTTTCTGTTAGCATAACCAAGTCTTTGGTTAAGGGTCTTGAAACAGTAGGTAGAGGTGGTCCAGCTTCCCAGCCATGCTAGGCTAGGTTCAAACAATGCAGTAAGGTTTTCTCCCGATTCCCACAATTGAATAAAGTTTTCTCACAGGACAGAAGGTGGACTAGAGCCAGGGGGGAGGAAACCTGTGGCCTCAAAGCCACATGTGGCCCTTTAGGTCCTTAAGTGCAGCCCTTTGACTGAATCCAAACTTCACAGAGTAAATCTCCTTAATGAAATGATTTTGTTCTGTAAAACTTGGACTCAGTCAAAAGACCTTACCCAAGGATCTAGAAGGCCTTGAGGCCGAAGGTTCCCCACCCCTGGACTAGACCTATAAATGAATAGAAAGGAAACTGAGCTAGCTCCAGAACTGAGTCACAAGATAAGAGTCAGTGTGGTTCACTCAATTCCCACAATTAACCACTTGCTGAAATAGTCCCCTCAAGTGCAACACTGACCAAATTAAAGAATCCATGAATAAACTACAAAAAGGGCCAGGAGGCATGTGTTATCAGTTCTAATCATAGCTTGTCTTTGTTTTTCTGGGAATGTATTCTATGGTTTTGGGGGTATTTTTTGAGGGAAGTGTCTGTCAGGCCAAATTTTTTTTTTAAACTTTAATAGAAAAAGCAGACCCAAGAGATAGGGCAGTCACAAGTGTAGAGCAGAAATGATACTATTTCACATTTACATAACAGTTTAGTCAATATGGCTCCATCCCATATGTTATCTCATTTGATCCTTATTGTCAGCACTGGGATTTAGGCATCCAGAGATTAGAGGCATCCAGATAAAATGCCAGACCTTCAATCAGGCCCAGTTCAAGACCTCAGTTCAAATCTAGCGGCAGACACTCAGTGGCTGTGACCCTAGGCAAGTCCCATAACCTCTGTCTCTCTCAGTTTTGTTAATCGTAAAATGAGGGAAATAATAACATGTACCTCCCAGGACTGTTGTGAGGAGCAAATGAGATATTTGTAAAGCTCTTAGCACATAGTAGGTGCTATGTACATGGTAGCTATTATTATTAGATTATTATTCTCAGGTAAGCAGCAGGTAAATGTGGGTTACACCCATTATATAGGTGAGGAAACTGAAAGGTAAAAAATGAGGAAACATTTGTAACTTGCTAGAGGTCATATTATTGGTCAGTGACAGAGCTTGGGTTAGACAGAACCCAGGTTTCCAGGCTACTAATCGAGAGCTCTTTGCCTTATGGTAGAATTTGGAGGGAGTGTACAGTGGGTAGGGGAACTGTTTCTTCAAGTTGCTACTTTGAGGCCAAGGTGAGACATCTGCCCTCCTTCTCTTTTTCAGTTCTCATCATGCCATCTTAACCTGTTCTCTCTGCTCCTTGATTCTCTAAGCTTTTTAAAAATCTCTCTCCTCCTGGGGCAGAAGCTCTGAGAGAGACAGAGAGAGAGTTGTATGGACAGACTTACTGAGGATGAGTGATTGATACCCTCACCTTCCCTAGGGCCTTATGGTTCAAGGGCACGTTTCAGGTATCTTGCAGAAAGCATAGCCCTTTGGGATGGAGGCATGCTCCCCTTTCCAACTCTCAACATCTATCTCTGTGGTAAACCTGGGTAGTTTAGGCCCTCAACTCTCTGTTCCTTGAAACACTGGCGATAGCTCAGCTGGGCTGGGCTGAACTGGGCTTGCCCAGAGATTGGAGGAGGAGCTGGGTAGACACAGGTGCGGCCAGACTAGGAAGCAGGAAGCTGCGGTGCTGTCTCCAGCAGACTGGGCATTCCTCTCTCAGGTAAGAGCATAGGGATTTAATTGGAGGTTCAGTGGGGACTCCCTTAGGAGTCTGGGGGAGTTAAGTTGGGGGAGAGGTAAAATCAGGTTACGGCTCTGCCTTTCTGTACTCTATGAAGGGACAACAAAAGAGGGAGGGGGTAGGTGGAAACTGAAACTTCCTGTTGGTATCTATGCCCAAGGCTAGACTTAGGAAGGAATGGACTGCCTTTGAATCTTGTGATTGCCCCACCTCACTCAGTCACAGATTCATAGCCGGAAGGGACCTCAAAAGACCATCTCTTCCATCATGGAGAAGAATGTGAGGCCCAGGGAAGTTAAGTGACCAAGGTCACTCAAGGAGCTGGGATTCTTTCCCCCCAGACTTGGCGCTTTTTTTTTTGGTGAAGCAATCAGGGTTAAGTGACTTGCCCAAAGTCACACAGCTAGTAAGTGTCAAGTGTCTGAGGCTGGATTTGAACTCAGGTCCTCCTAACTCCAAAGCTAGAGCCTTATCCCCTGTGCCATCTAGCTGCCCCATCCCCCCAGACTTGGGCTGGGTCAGAGCCAGTAGGAAGGCGGGGGCAGGGAAAGGGGATAACTGGATTCTGTTGTGTTCTTGACTTCCTTGATGGGGGTGAGATAGGTGCCCAAGGACTTGCAGGGATGGCTCCATCCAGCAAGGAGGTGCTGAGTGAGCTGCAGGAGACTGCACAAGAACTATTGAGCAGACTGAAAAGCCACCATCTGTTTCAGTCTGAGTGGGACATTGCAGCCTTTGTGGTCTTCCTCACCTTCACTGGTGAGTATGGCAACACCCTTCCAGATCTCCCCCTCCCCCCCACCATCTAGCGCTGTGGCCTTGGTTCTTGTCTTTCCTCACTCTTACCTACGTGGGTCAGTGTGGCCAGCATCCCCAACCCACCTGAGCAATGTGGTTCTACTCCCACTGCTCCAAGTCAGCGTGACCACAGCCTCTTTCTCCTGATTCCTGAGTGACCTCCTCCCTGCCAAGGCTTCGGGTGACAACATCTTTCCTCCTGCCCCTCAGGGACTGTACTGGTGCTGACGCTCCTCGTCCTCTTGTACTGCTGCTGCTGCAACTCCTCCAGCCCCCCAAAGGTAACCTGTCCCTGAAGCCCTCCAATGGACCCCCGATTCCAGCTCAGCTCTTTCCCCATCTCACTTCTTGTTGAACCAGGGACTGCCCTACAGCCATGTTGGGTCTCCTTTGGAGCAGGCTGCATAAACCACACTTTTTAAAGACTCTACTCTTTCTCACAGAGAAGACCCAAGGGAGTGGACAACTTAGCCCTGGAGCCATAGTCTAGTGCCACTCGCCAGATGGCCTTGGATGCAGACTTCTTGATAATCAGGACCAGCACCAGCTCGGCCACAGCCCACACCCTGGAGCAACATTAAAGAAGTCATACTTCATCTCTCTGGCAACCTTAGTCTCTCCCCACCTTCCTTCCCCATTCCCCCCCCCACCCCCAGCCCAATCAAGGCTTGCTCTTGCTGCCTTCCTAGCATCCTGGGCTACAAAGGGCTCTGCTTTATTACTGACAGCAAGCCAGGCCACTGGGGAAAAGCCTGAGCACACCAAAATAACCTGCCCCAGGGGTGCTTACACACATCTCCAACAGACACCTACACACAACCCATCTTCACATAGAAGCATCAATCTCCACGTCTTCCCCATGCCAAAGACAGACACAGTTGCAAAGGCTCGGGTCTTGACTCTTTATTTCTTAGTGGACTGATACCTTCGCAGAACATTCCCAGCCACAGGCAGCCACCCCTTTATACGCAGTGTCACCCCTCCATCCCTCCCCTGCCCCCAGCCTGCAGTACTGTCCCCACAGAGATGTGGGGACTGTGGTTCTCAGGGGAAGCTCTCGTGTTGAGGAGAAGGGAGCAGAACTAGAGCATTTCTGCCTGGGCTCCTCCTTCCTTCTGGGTCCAAAGGTCATCAACATCCCAGGAAGCTGGGGCTAGGAATGCAGGGCTGGCCCTCTGGCCGCAGTTCAGCCTTAACCTTTGGATTTCAATTTTCACAACGTGAGTCCTCAGTCTCTGGGGCCCCAGGGCTCCTCAGCACTGGCCTCCATCACCCAATGCAGCTCTACCTGAAAAGTTCCCTTCATGTCCCATTCTGGCCTCAGACTCACTTCTCCAGTGTTCGTTATCATTCACGCAACTCTAACAGGCAGAGAGGGCTTCTCAAAGCCTGGGGGCCATGAGGGAAATAAATAACGCACTGTACCCATGCAGAGCCAGCTGCATGCTGCACCTTGTCTATATTGCATCCTCCAGGGATTCACTCCTGGGGGTTGGCTCAGCCTTCTTGGGGACCAAATCCATGGACTAGGCACCTCCTTTATTGGGGGAAATTTGTCAGAGGCTTCTCTTGGTCAGAAGGGCCTGTAGCTCCAGTAGCTGGAGAAGACTGAGATCTAGGGACAGAACAAAGCAATGTCAGCAGGAGCCCTCCCTGCTTTGTACTCCTCCTCCCCCAATGCTGTCCTCCCCTACACAAGCTCTTAGTCCTCGGGCTGAGGGATATTCCTAAATTGGGTAAAGGATCACTGTGCTCCCAACCTCTGTAACAAGTTCAGACAGGTGAAAGAGGCAGGGGAAACTTTAGCAAAGGGCTCAGGTATGCAGCTTGATGCAAAGGGAAGGGAAAGGGAGGAAAAGAATGCTGACTATGTATTCTGTTTAGGGATTGTGAGGCTTTTATATAAATGTCTCCAACCTTTTGAAAATATCACCTACGGACACCAAGCACTTAATGAAAGTTACCTTCCCCAAAGCAGCTTGAGCATCAGAAGCATAAGGCCTTAGTTAACTGTTTTAATGCGGTCTACCATTGGCTTGGACCTGCCGGGACCATCACATCAGGGAACACTGCACATGAATGAAGTCTGCTTTGGTTCTAACTACCTGCTAGAAAGGCCTTTGAAAGCTGCCTGTGGAAAACCCAGAAGTCTCCCAGCCTTGTCACCCCAGGCTCCACAAACTCTGGCTGCCCACCTTGTCCTTGAGCTGCTGGCACAGCTGTAGGGAGACAGTGAAGAAGACGAGGGCATCATTGAGCCAGGGAACCACACACTCGACCTTGTGCACGTGACTCACCTCCAGGCGCTGGGCGCCCCACTCACTGTAGTCAACACAGGGAGGGAGAAGGGATAGGTCACTCTAGGAAAGGGCAATACAGAAAGAAGGGGCCCCCGCTGGGACTCTGGCTGGGGCTGGAAGGACCCTGGATGAGTTTTCAGTAGGACACAGGACTGCTCCCAAGGTAAATGGGGAGAGATGTCGAGACCTGGGGACACATGCTCCTTCTACTCATTGCCTCAAAGTGAGTACTTACAACATGGCTCCTGGACTGTGAAGTACAGCACCCCCCGCAGGGCGGAAGTTCTAAACAAAGCATCAGAGATAATGAGGTTAGTGCAAGGGCAGCCACACCAGCAGTCAGCCAGGCAGGAGCATTTCTGGTCCACACCACCCAGAGTAACCACGGGATTTCTCTTGATGGAAGCAAAGCCAGGGCACTGCTGTGTGGGTCCAAGGGTGGGCACAAGAATATTGCTTGGGCAGTGATGTTTTGGGGGAGCTCATTACCTTGGTGGAGCTGGGTTGCAGAGCATGCAGCTGGTACACGGTAAGGCACAGCTTGTTAAGGTTGATGTAAAAATTCACCAGAAGGTCTGCAGGCAAAGCAGGAGCAAACATCCTCTGCGGGAAGTATAGTGTAGCCTCTGGTCAGACCAGGCACTCGAGGTGGCATAAGTCAGAATGAGGGGGTGGGAAGAGGTAGCAAGTGTTCTGGCCTTTGGCTGGCAGTCTATCTCCCACCCTGCCCTCCCTCTGCCCAACCCAGGCCCCAAGAGGAGTGAAATGCCACAAGGCCTTCCCTTGATCTTCCCAGACACTGAGGTTAAAGCTGTCTCCCTGCAGCTCTGCCACTGAGGCAGAGCTGGGATCTTTGCTGAACTCTGGGCCTGTCTCTCTATAGCAGGGATTCTTGACAAGACTCTGTGCCAGCTGGTGAAGCCTTCACAGAGAAATGTTTTAATAAACACATAAAAGAAGGAAACCAAATACGCTGAAAAAAGTTATCAAAACATGAATGATGACCAAAAGAACAACACCGCAGTCCCAAAACAAAACCAAGGCCCAGATCCCGGGTTAAGAATCCCTGAACTACAGAATGGGAAAGACATGCAGGAAGCAGAAAGGCTCCCTTGGTGGGCAATCACTCAATTCTCTATAGAGATCACCTCACTTTGCTAGCCACTCTTCCCCTGGGACCTCTACCCCAAATGAGCCACATACTACTGTAAGTTTGTGTCAGGCACTGACCGTCAAGCCACTGGCGGCGATCTCAGGCAGGGTAAGTGTAGCTGGAGTGGTGAGCCGATTTCTTGCTCGGGTTAGCTGCAGCATCACTGCATCCATTAGCTGGGGACAGACATGATTGTCATAGCAGGTCCCAGGGGAGAACTGGTCAAAGCCCCAAGCTCCAGAAATGCCTGTTTCTCAAATGGGAAGGTGGGGTAAGGGCCATCAGATTCCTTCTAGTCAAGCTACAGAGATCATGGAAGCTCTGAACAAAGTCTACACTGGGATTCCAAAGGTTCCTTTACGCACTCTATACACGCTCTGAAGGCTCTTAAGGGGCACTTCTCTTTGAAGCTAGTGTGTGAGCACTGTCTCCCCCAACCAGAAGCTGCCAGTAGGAATTGAGGATTTGGAGGGACAGGATGAACTGCTTTTCCCTTGGGATAGGGACAACTTTATTCCTTTCATTGCCATAATCTGAGGACAGTAAAAGTCAGTGAGTATTGAGGGCATATAGTTGAATTCAGGAATTAAAGAGTAACAGCCCACTCGTTTCACTCAATAACCTTCTGCCTCAATAACCTATTTTCCACTTAGTACTCCTAACTGATTTGGATTTGAGTTTCAGAGACCCAAAATTTACCTATTCTCTGTTGGAACTATAAAAATATCCTGGAAGCAGAGATCTGAAGGCTTTCAGAGTCACAGGATTTGTCAGAGTAGAGAGAGACATGGAAGTAAGACAGCCTTTAGGATGGAAGGGATTAAGGTATAAAAGGGAAGCCATCACCAGGTACACATTCTCCCTTTCAGAATCTTTCCGTCAGGCTCAGTCTCTGTGCTTACCTTGAGGACCTCAGCTCCTGTTTTGAATTGGTAGCTCTCATCCCGGTTGGCAAGGAGATAAATTGCTTGGCTAACATGATTCCTGGCATCCTGGATCTGAAGACACAAAATCCACATCACCCACCCAAGTATGGGTTGGGGGGAGGAACACACTACTAGGAGATGGCTTCATTAATCATTAGTCAGAACTGGAAGTCAATTCAGAGCCCTCTAGGTTACTTGATTCACTGCCTTCTGAATGCAGTGCAGTGTGCTTAATCTCCCCCCAAGCTCAGTGCCTGTCAAACCCTGGATCAGTTCCCCTCACGCTTTTATAAGAGTATATCTATGTGACAGAATCCTCTTAATGTGCACAGTGTATATATATGCATGCACGAGAGTAGTTTTGGGGAAGTACTATGCATGCTTCCCAAACATGCATGCCCTGAACTCATTCCTGAACCAAGACATTGGTGGTGGAGGATTATCAGTCACAGAATCCTTAGGGCCAGAGATTCCAACCCCTAAGCTCTACTGCCAGGAAACAACCATATCCCAGGCCAGCACTTTAGTATCAATTAATACCCAGCAAATCTTCCCAATCCCTTGATGACCAGGGCCCTTGACTGCTGAAATGCCGTTATCACATACACTTAACCACAGCCTTCTGAGATTCGGGCTCTGCGGGGCTGGTGAGGCCCTGAAGGAGTTAGGCTGGGGGAGGGACTGGAATACAGCTGCACAGACAGAGAGAGAATTACCTGCTGCAGTTTCCACTGCTTGTCTTCTCGGAATGCAAAGTGTAACAACTGGTTATTTCTGGGCATTTTCAGATTCACATCCTGAGAAACAACAAACACCAGCAGCAGATCAAATGGGAGATGCCTGAATTTCCCATGCCAGCTTACAGTGTGTTCTATTTTTGCCTTCCACAAAATCACAAGCAAAAGGAACCCTTAGGATAAAGAATATCACCAAAAGCTCGGGGCAGTAAGGGTCCACCACACTCACTGTGGACTGGAGGTTCATATGGAAACCTGGGATCCCAAAAGGATCAGAGATCCTGGGGAATGATGCTGGATCCAGGTTCAGAGAGAGAAGCCCACAAGGAGGGAAGGTTGGGAGAAGAGGAGACAAGAGACAGAAAAGCTCTTCTACTTGATATAAGTGATCCTTTGAGGAAGGCAGCAAATAGCTAGACTGTAAGTTTCCTGAGGGCAAAGGCTGTACCTCTCATCATTTTGTATCCCTGTCCACTTGTCTTAGCAAAAAAAAAAAAGGCTGGCATACAGCTGGAATTCAAGAAATCTTTGCTAATATTATTGAGATCAGAGAGAGAAAGAAAAAAAAGTCAGATACCCCGGTAACACTAATTAAAAAAACCTGTCCCTGCTAAGAAAGAAACAGCAAAACCAAAAAGTCTGGTCTTCTCAGGATCTAGCAGCAAGGATGAGGTTCTCTGCTCTGCTACAGGCCAGTTTTCAAGCATCCATTCATTTAATAAGCCTTTATTTAATGCTGCCTGTGCACAAGACCCTGTGCTAGGATGCTGCCCTCAAGAAGCTTAACATCTAGGAAATGTGGAAAGGAAAAATATACACATGAGGGTCACGCAGGTAAGAGGTGTAAAGAGCTATGGAATTTCAGAAGGAGAGACCTCGCACAGTTGAGGGATCTAGGAAAGGCTTCACAGAGGAGGTGGGATTTGAGCTAGGCCTTGAACAATGTATAGGGTTTCAGCAGGCAAGGGTGGGAGGAGGGCATTCTAATTTGAGAACACATAAACAAAAGGAAAGAGGTGGGAAAGGGCAGGAGCCTCCCCTTAAAGACTCACCGCTTGGCTCAGTGCATCCCCTTGCAGAGTCAGCACACCCTTCACCTGGTCAGTGCTGTAACACATGACTGTCAGGGCAAAGCCTGCCTGTTCCCTGACTGTCCCCTCTTCAAGCCCAGAGACACCTCCCTCTGCTTCCTCAGCCTCCTCAACTCCCCTCCCATACCAAATTTCAACCAAATACCCCCACAGTTTATGAAGAGATGCCACAGACTTCAGTACTCCTTGTAGAAATAGAAGCACTTAGGAGGACATATTTAGGCTTTTAGTGTGGGTAAAAATAGCTGTTAACTGCAACCTTCTTGTACCCCATACGGACATTCAAGCTGCCAACATTTAAGATGAGATTAGACAGCAAAGATGGTCCAATCTGGTTTCTGTTATCCTCCTATTACTGTTCCTCACTCTCTTGCCCCTACTTTATACCCAAGGTAAAGACTAAGTGATGATACAACAGGGCCCTCTGCATTAACCTCAGAGATAACATGTTTATCTTGAGTTAATCAACCTCAACTTTCTTCTCATACTTACCTGGAGCTGCCAAGGATGAAGTTCTCTTGTCTGGCTGGTCCTTCTGTTCCAGTCCCAGGCAGAGTGAATCGGTACGAGGCTTCCTGTTGTAGATTAGGAGAGAGCAGTGGTAAGTTAAGAAAAGGTTTAAAGTTAATGTTGCCACATAGAGTGGAGTTCTAAACCCACTGCAAGGGGAAACTACTAAAACAGAATTTCCTTCTCAAAACCTACTGCAGAGACTTCATCAGCAGGAGAAGTCAGCATATCCAAGTCTAGTCCTTGCCCTAAGGCTACTGCCACAGCTAGAGGTTCATTTCACAGTGTTTTCCCCAAGGCATAAGGTACTGCCAGGCAATCCTCAGTTTCGTGGTATAGAAGTCATACTCACTCCCTAAGATCTTTCTGGGGGTCAATGAAGTGCAGGAAGGGACAATAGGAACATGGATTTAGTGTTGAGAAAGGGCAGTTAAGTAGCAATAGGGCTGGAGTCAGAAAGACCTGAGTTCAAATGTAGCCTCAGACACTTAGTGGTCTTGTGATCTTGGGCAAGTCACTTAACCTTTGTCAATTTCCTCAGCTGTAAAATGGGAATAATAATAACACCTACCTCCCAGGGCTGTAGTGAGGATCAAATGAATGTAAAGCTGCTCAGCACAAAGAAGGCCCTGGATAAATGCTTATCCCACAGACCGGGACGGGCGGAGGAAGGTTACCTTGAGAATGTCCTGCAGCTGGCGCAGCACAGCGTGGACCTCGTCGTGAAGCAGCCACCGGAACTCCTCCTCCTGCCCGTGGAGAGAGGGAGATAAGCGGCGCCCCCAGGCCGGCCTTGCAGGGGCACAGGCAGGAGGGGGGAGGGCTGGGGGTGCAGGGGGTGGGGGCGTTCCAGGCCCCGGGCGCTCCCAAGCACGGTGGGGGGGGTAAACAGGCCCTGCTCCTAGGCAGGCCCCTCCGGCCCTGGGCTCCGAGCTGGGCCCGCAGAGGCAGGCATCCGTCTGGAGGGAGTGTCCAGGAGCGGGCCGGCCCGGGAGACTCACCAGAACAGCCCGCTCCGCCGCCGTAGCAGCCATTGCAGTCGCCATCGCGTCCGCTTCTGAAAGCGTCGCTCGCTACGGTCGCCGGCCTCCAACCCAGCCTTCGAACCGATGTGCCAGGCCCCGCCCCTTACGCCGCAGCCAATAGGCTGATGGACTCATGTGAGCGTATAGGACGCCTCTGGAGCTCGGCTTTTGCTCTGATAGGTAGAGAAGACGCCGATTCACAATTTAATTGGCTTGACTGCCTCTCGCTCCCACCCCATTTAGTAGAGTTCGCAGATAGACTGCAGCCCTCCCTCCACCCACTCCTCTCTAGTCTTGACGGGCCTTCCCTTGGGTTCCAGATATATAAGCCAAGCTCTTCTAGGTGGGAAGCAGCTGGTTGCGGTATCCCTTCTCTAGCCTCCCCGCTGCTCCGACTGGATATCCTGTTTACATTCTACTCACGGACTGGCTAAAGGACAAATGGAAATGGAGAAAAACCACCTTTTGGTGGAAGATAATTGGCTCTCTCTGTAGCCTCTTCCTCTATCCGTCGGCAGGGCCCTCCAATCCTTCAAGCCCTCCCACCTACTGGTCCTAAGATTCTACACTGACACAAACACATGGATTTACCAAGAAAGGTTTTTATTTTCTTGCAGTAGCTTTGTTAATTGCACAAAATCATTTTATTTCGCCATTTAAACATTATCACACAATCCTATTCTGAATGACAAACGTTAATTAAAAACAAAGCAAAAATAAAAATTCACAACCTTAATTACCTAGAGAGTTTGTCATTGAAAGAGGGAAAAGGAAAACTGCTTTTCTTACAGGCTTTTCACAAATGTCACATTTTCTCTTTAAAAAGGAGTCAAAAACAAAAGCAAAATAGCTAAAACAGAAAGTCATAAAAAGGAACTTTACAGAATTGTCAACAATATTAAGACAACACTGACTAGCCAGTTTCATTACAGCATCTCCCAGATCCAGAGTTTCTCCCTTCCTCCCCCACCCCCCACCCCTCCCCGCTATCCTGGCCAGGAACAGAACTGGCATGTTCAGAGACAGAGATAAGGACAGTATTGCCAGTGAAACAAACATCTGGACCAGAATGACACTGCATCTTCCCTGTGTCCCCTCTCTTCTTCCACAAGTTTCATTTCTCAAACCTAGGCTGTAAGAGATAAAGAGGAAAGAGGGACAAACCTCCAGATGCTGGAAAAAAAAAACCAAACAAAACCAAACTACACCCACAGAGCTGTCACTGAATCCTCCCCTCCCTCCCCCCATGAATATCAACCTTAAGCTTTATGTGAAAACCAACCCACAGAAATGGGAAGGTAGATTTAGGATTTCAGGGATGACAGCCTCTCCTTGTTCTTATGTACCATTTCAGTTCCCACGTGGGCACCCTCCCCAAAGAGAAAACAGGAATCTCCAAGATGGACTTGGGTTTACCTTTCTAGTTTGTCAGGACTCATCTCAGGTCAAGTCTTCTCTTTCCCCAAACGGGACCTTGTGGCCCCAGAGGCACAAAGAACATGATGCTGGCTGGAGTGCAATTACTCATTCCTTTACTAAGAACTGATCCCATGATTGACCCAGGGCAAGGGAAGCTAGGTCTGGGTCAAAGTAGGTAAAAAGACACCCACTGTCTCTCCACAGACAGGGATGGGTAGGAAGAAAAAGGTGGTGGCATGCACAACAGGGCTCTCTGTATGGACACAGATGGAAGGGCCTAAAGGGGATATCAAGAGGACTCCAAAACGAGTCAGAAGAGCATGTGACATAACGGAAACAGAAAGGAGTCATTCTTCCACACACACCTCACTGCTCTCATTGGTGTACTCACTGCCCCCCCCCCCCCCCCCCCCCCCCCGGGCTGGAATGCAAATCCAAACACTGAATCAGGTTGGTGATGGCTAAATCCCATCTACATTGGATAAACCCATTCCACTATTCTCATAAGGGCCAGGGATTCCAATTTCAGCCTGAGCCAATGGTAGATACTGTGATGGGATGGTGATGTTGGGGTGCGCCTGTTCTTCACTCAAACCTACAATCTTTCCAGTTCATAAAACCACATAAGGAATTAGTTTGCTAGTTCTCTTTTTAGAATGTTGGTGGCTTAAATACCCAAATGCTCGCCAACTGTCTGCTTGTAGCCTGAGATACTGTAGACCCCCTTTATGGGGTCTGTGCCACCTCACTGTCCTCTTTCCTGGGGGATGTGCCGACATGGGAGAGCTAGGTGGCCTCCCAATGGAGCAGCCTATATTTCCAGGCAAATTAGGGTAGGATCAAAAGGAGTAAGAGCCATTCCAAAGAGTCTGACTTCACAACTAGGACACTATGGAGGCTGCTTCTTAAAACCCCAATGAAAGAGGGGAAGATGGACTCTGGCCCCCTTTGCTAGGAGGAACTCGGACTCTGACAAACTCAGGAAGGAGAAAGAAGCCAAGCAGATTCTGGCAGCATCACTTCTAGGGGTCAAAGGAGGTGGGAGGGAGGTGAGGCCTGTTTGAACACACAGCCACCATTCTGATCCAGGCAGCAGGCAGGACTGCTCATCAGTTTTTCACAATCCAACATCACCTTTCCCAATCCCCTCACCCCTTTTCCCTGAGCCTCCAGGGGAGGCCTGATGCTGCAGCTGCACTCATGGCAAATCTTTTCAAAGTTTGTGTATAAAAGGAAACATAGAGACAGATGGACTGGTCCAGAGTTAAGTCCCAGGACCCTGACCCCATGTGAGCAATGGGGATTAGAAGGAAGATAGGGCCTCAGGGCTTAGTGTATGTAGGCTCGGTACACAGCAGACATGTCATTGTCAGACTGGTCCAGTGCCTTGGCTCGTTTATATACCTGAAACGACAAAGAATTACAGTTAGCTCTTTGTCCTCAAAATATTTAAAGGTTGTAAGTAAATTATAACAGCAATCTACTATACTATATGATATGATATGGTAGAAGGTAAGATACAGGATTATTACAAGTCATAAGCTTTGAATCTCTGAGAAGTTACCATCTAGTTGGTCAAGTCACTTCAATTCAATCCAACAAATATTGTTAAATGTTCACTTAGGGGAGATACGAGTGGAAGGTGAAGAGCCACATGGTTCATTCAAATATAGTAGTGCCCCTCCCTCCTGCTTGTTCACTGATAAACTGGCCCAGTCCTACCTGCACCATTTTTTTCCTTATTATATTCCCTCCTGACAATTACTTAACAGTTCTTCAAACCTTAAAAGAAACAATCCTGAATGTACCTCATTTGCTGCAGCTGCCATAGGAGTTGGGTGGTTGACAGAATCACCTAGTGCAATGGCTAATCTGAGATCCTTCTGGATATACTTCAGGTAGAAATCAGGTTTAAAGTTCCCTTGCAGGATATCTAGAAGGGAAAAAAACCAGGGAATTTTTAAAAAGCTATAAGAACCTAAAAAAAGGGATGGGGGAAGGGAGCAACTTTTAGTAAAAGTTATCTAGAAAATAAACTCCACCTAGAAAAGTACACCAGCAGTTGTATTATCTTCAACAAAGATGACTATCCCAATACCACATTCTCCCTCAGAAACTCAAGAAACTGAGTTTTGATTCCAGAATAAACAAGCTCCACCACTGAACTGTTCTGTAAGCCCTCTGGCATAAAAGAATACAGAGATGAGGAACCTTATGAAGGAAGCATTTAGGCTTCCTCTATTCAACATGAACCCAGATCCTCATGTATAAGATGTTAAGCTCAGTCACTGAGTCACAACACAAGGATGTTTGATATAAAACAGGAAGGAGAAAATGACAAACAAAAGTGGACTTTACTTTGGCACTTCTGATCCAGGAAGATGCTAGCCAGTTGTCCTTGATTGAGGATGTCAAGCAATGTCTGTTGAGACTGTCCTGTCACTTGGGCCAGCGTCAGTCCTTCAGCTATGGTAGCCATGAAACTTCCCTGGACCATATTCACAATCAACATCATCTTAGCTGCATTCCCAACCTCACCTGCCCAGGGCAAAGAAACATGGTCACCTTCACAAAGGACTCCTGTAACGAGTGGCTTTCTACCCTCATCTCTGTTCTGATACCCATACACCTGGACCCACCTCTAAACCCAGGGAAGGCCCTATTCACCTGCCCCTGACAGAATTGGTTTTGACCCTTCTGGACCTTTACATCTTCCTCCTTCCAGGTACTGAGTATGCAAATCAAAGGAAACCTTCCCACTGGGGACCCAGGCTGTAATTGACACCGTCATCAGTGTAGTCTATAGAGTATATGACCCAACCCAGAATCCAGGTCTGAAGTGGTAGGGCAGGCAGGCATGTTACCTAGAAAGAAGGAGGTCTTCCCCATTGCCTGGAAGCAGCTGCTGCAGTCTTCATATAAGCCCCTGTCTCCGGCTGCTAAGATCACCAGCATCCCATCATTAGACAGCTGCTGATTTCCTGAGACGGGGGCTTCTAGAAATCGACCGCCCCTGGACACAATCACCTGGAAAGGAAATTCACAGGTTCTGAAGGCTGTTCCTCCCACAGGTATCCATGTAGGGTTGATGTTCTCTAGGTATAGAACACAATGGACAAGCGAAGATGGCAGAACCTACTAGAAAATGTTGCTTTCCCATTCCCATCTAGGCTTAATCTTCAAATGAGCCTGGGTTGTTCATCATCTTCTTCCCATGCACGCATTTAGAGGTGAAGGAACATAAAAACTTGGCTGTCTATGCTTGGGACCCCAAAGCTTAAAACCTGTGTGTGCTGTAATATAAGAACTGAGGCTGTGGCATGACAATTACTCCCCAAAAGACAGACACTACTTCAAGTGGAACTAACAAGAAACAAGAAAAAACTACTTGCAGTCTGCCAATTCAAACCAACCAGCACTTCTTAAAGCTCCTACTATTATGTAAGCACAGTGCTAGGGAGTATGAATATGAAGACAAAATAAGCAATCTGTGACCTCGAGGAGCTTATATTTTACTGAGGGGATGGGAATTGTTAAACAAATTGATATATACATGATCATTTGAGGAGGGAGAGGGCACTGACAAATTAGGAGAATCAGGAAAGGCTTCCTATAGGAGATGGCATATGAGCTGAGCCTTGAAAGAAACTAGAAATTCTAAGAGGCAGAAGTGATGAGGGAGTATATTTCAGACAGCCCAAGCTGGGAGACAGAATGTTGTGTTTAGACACGAAGTAAACACAGTGTGTGAAGGGGAGTTATGAGAAATAAAACCAATAAGTATACTGTAATGGACTTTAAATGGCAAGGTAATGAGTTTGTATTTTATCTTCAAGGTAAGGAGAAGTCACTAATGGTTCTTGAGGTGGGAGTAAAATGGTCAGACTTGTATCTTAGGATTATGTTGGCAACTGTTTAGGAGATGGAATGGAGAAGAGACAAAGGCACAAATCTAATTAGGAGGTCCTTATTTACTCTGAAGTTTCCTACTGAAACTAAAGCATTGTGAGCATGTATATAGCACTGCAAAAAACTTCTTTCCTTCAGTGCCATTTCGAAAGGTGTGCTCAGGTGGCCAAGTTACATTGTGACTTCAACTATCCTCAAACAGAAAGGCTTGACAGAGGTCAAGAGAATATATAAGGGCCAACGATTCTGGAGGAAGCCGTACCAGTCTTCCAAACAAGGATACAGAAGAACTGCTTTTATATACTTGGGCCAAGGAAGACAAAGATCTGGGGATTTCTAGAGTGTTAACCCAGGTTGTTCCCTGGGAAAACAGAAACACTTTTACAACCCTTACTACAACACTAAGCCTATTAAACCACAGTCTACGTTTTGACAGGTCATGATGGGATGCTGCTTTTTGTTGTCAGTACTCAGTAGTCAGGAGTCACAGGAACTGATTCTCCAGCCATTCAGGTAGCAGCTCTGTAAAAGCACATTAGACTCACTATTGCTTTAGGTTTCACTTAAGACAGATTAACATTGTTGAATCTCTTCTTTATAGACCAGTCTCTAAAATAGCCAGGTGAAAGAATGCTCAATCCTGGTCATGTATTTCACTTGGAAAAGAGTGGGTGGGTTTGCTTTGGACTGCTACCTGGGCCAATTCAGTGACCGTGTCTGCATCCACCGTTGACATGTCTACATAGCATTTTCCAGGGCGGATCCCTTGAAGCACGCCACTAGGGCCCAGCACCAGCTGTGGGAACACAAGGGGAAAGCAATAGCCCAGGCCCTCAACAGCTTCAAGGCCTGTTTCCCCACCCTCCAACTCTCAAATAATTTTTGACTCTCAATATTCCTTCCTCCCCCAATAATACTAAAGGAAGCATCGATCGGTAAGGCCAGACCCAGATATCAGGCTGACTGCAGAGCCAAGGCACTAACTGTGGAGGATGTGGTCCACCTGAGCAATGTCTTTTTGAAAGGTGGTTGTATTATAATTAAACACAGTTCAGAGTCAAGTTGTTCCCATACTACCTTCTCAGATGTCTAGGAGCTAAATATTTAGCCTAAAAAGGAAGAAAAGGCTTTGTTTACCTTTATTTAGAGCTTTCCTTGATTTACTCAGGTTTCAATCTTAAACAGTTTAAAAAGGTGACCACTGCCATTTAAGCATATAAGAAAGAAACACAAATAGCTACCAAACACAGAAAGAATCCTTTGGCATACAGATACAACAAGAACAAGAGTTTAAAGCATATAAGGAAAAGCACAGATTTTTAATAATATTTTCAAGGCTAGCCCTCTGGAGATATCAGGGTTTAAAAACCCATGTTTTGAGTCAAAAGAAGTTTGTTTACAAAAATCTATTTCATGCAAACCAACTTCACACAAGCAGGTGACTAGGAGATTTGAAATCGAATTCCTCTACAGTTTGATGTACAATATTTTCTGAATAATAAAAGGACAAGTGGTCAATGTCTCACAAGACAGGTAACTACAGAGAGGAGAGAGGGGATCCTTACGTCCTTAGCTGCTTTGGGATCCGACACACAGGCGAAGGTGATGTCACAGGTAGAGACCACTTCAGCGGGGGTTCTTCCCAGCCGGGCCCCCTCCTGGATGAACAAATCACACTGCAAAAGTCACAGATCCAAAAGTAAGAAGGTAGCACATAACAAACATGCCTCCTAGGTTTTGTGGCCTCTGGTTGCCTCAGCTTATCTCCAAAGGCACTATAAGGCAGAAGACTTAAGGGGTCAAAGACAACACCTGACCAGCAGATGAATATATCACTATTAAGGAATGGTGACTTTCTTGACTAGATTATAAATGAATGTAACTGTATGTCCCTTTTAACCTAATTTTAACAGGTGGCTAATAACTGTTTGTTGCTATTGCTAATCTACTGTTTAAAAGGGTGAAAGTGGGATAGCTGAGTCCACTTGGGCATATTACTAGAGAGAAACCCAGTGGAGCCAGTGTGGCCAACTGCAAGAACCACCATGGTGAATCGTGGAAGGCTCTGTAGTCAACTCTATAGTTATATCAGCTCGTGGGGGAGGTACTGTACAAGTCCTGACTAACATACTGTATGCAGCACAAGAGAAAAAGTACTAAGTCTCCATTTTCTGGCTTGTGGTGGGGTGGAGGAATGTCAAAATGTACTATACCCAACAGCCTAATTCCAAGGGTCAATTATACTAATAAAAAACCAAAAAACAAAAACAAAAAAATCCACCAAACAAACCAAAAGCTCCTGTGAAAGTATGGCTCCTAAAACTTTCCATAGGTCCCTCCCAACTATTCTAAAGCTTCCATTTGGTTACTTAGTCATAGAATCAAATTTAGAACAGAAGGGACACCACAGCTGAGGAAATTGAGATCCAGAGGTTAAATGATTTGCCTAGCATTACAAAGATACTAGGTTCCATTAGTTCTTTCATAATTTAGGGCAGAACCTGGAACATTACTCAAACATCATTTCATCACATCACTTTTCCTGCTCAGAGATCTGATGGTTCCCTACTACCCACTATAACACCCAAACTACTTAGCCTGGCTTTCAACGTTTGCTATCATCTCCTTTCTAATTCAGTCATTTCTCATTATTTTTCAACATGACTCTGGCTCTAGTCAAAATTAACGTCCAGACAAAAATTGTTCCCTTCACTTGAAATACCTTCTACTTTCAACTTCATCAATCTATGTCCAAAATTTCCTTCACAGCCTAGCCCCAAACTCCCTCCCCCTCTCCAGGAAGCCCTTTCCTGATGAGCCCTATCTTCATTCTGCTTACTTCTTCATTTCAAATTCTTTCAACATTCAATACTGTTTGCAATATTTTAACTTATCCTAGTTAATTTGTTAAAACATTTCGTATGTAAACATTCTGCCACCTCATCAAGAGCTTAAGCTTCTTGAAAAGATCTGTTTCTCTGGTATTCCCTTTCAGCTATTCTACTATACTGTATATATTATGAAAAAATAGCACTTTTGGGGCAGCTAGGTGTCACAGTGCATAGAGCTCTGGCCTTGGAGTCAGGAGGACCTGAGTTCAAATCTGGCCTGACACACTTAACACTTACTAGCTATGTGACTCTGGCAAGTCACTTCACCCCGACTGCCTCACCAAGAAAAGCAAAAAACAAAAAACCGAAAAGTAAAAAAAAAAATAGCATTTTGGCTCTCCTATCCCTACTGCATGTACAACTTTGTGTAGGGGCCCAACTGTATTTCAAGTTCAGTTCTAGGCAGAGTTCTCTTTACTCAAAGTCTGGTTCATATTTAAATCAAATGTCATCTTGCCTCCCCATCCTGCCCTCTAGTCGCACTGCCCACATATCCTTACTTTTTCTGCTGTCCGGTTCCATACAGTGACTGTATGACCCATTTTTAATAAGTTGGAGACAATACCACTTCCCATGAGGCCAAGGCCCAAAAATCCTATCCTGGGGAGAACAGAAAGGTTAGTATGTGGGAAGGTAAGAGTATGTATTTACATGTACGTACGTGTACACACACACACACACACACACACACACACACACACACACACACACACACACACACACGTATATGTGCATGGGCAAACACAAACACAGTGGAGCAATCTTCAGCACTGCTGAGGAATGAATTTAGGTCACTAGGCAAGGAAAACTGGTCCCTAGATTGCTCAATACACTAAATGAAAATGGGCATTTCTGAGTCTTTAACTGACACGTGAAGAACACTTCATGTGTACCCCCCAATCCAGAAACCACTGTCCAAATGGCTCTTCTCAAATTTTACAAGAATCATAGAATCCTAGAGCTGGAAATATCTAATCAAACAACTCTGCCTGATTAATGTTTTATACCTCTCTACCAAGTGGTAATCTAGCTTTTGCCTGAATGCCTTCAGTGATGAGGGACTCACTACCTACCAAGACAGTCTATTTCATTACTGGATAGCTCTCATTGTTAAGAAGTTCTATATATTATCTATATATATCTATATATATATCTATCTATATATATATAGATATCTATATATATATCTATATATATCTATATCTATATATCTATATGTCTATCTATCTATCTATCTATATATATATATATATATATATCTATCTTCTCATAGCTTCCAACCCACTGTTCTATGGATTCTAGTTCTGTCTTTGCCATATGATCGCCCTTTAAATATGTGAAGACAGTTATCATGGACTGCCTATGTCTTCTACTCTTCAAGCTAAGTATTCCTTGCTCCTTGAACCAATCCTTATATGACAGTTACAAAGTACACTCACCATTATAAATAAGTTCTAAATTTATCATGTTCTTACTAAAATATGCAAGATGTGGTCTAATCATCACAGCACAGGAACACTTCCTTTACTCTGGACATTATATTTCTTTCAATAAAGTTTAAGAGAAAATTACCTTTTTTTGGCTGCCACATCATAATGTTGATTCATATACTGAACTGGCATACTACTCAATTTTTTTTTATACCAACTGCTATCTGGAAACTGAGGACATACAAAGCTGTATCCTTTTCCATTCTGAGATCAAGCCATCTTCACATATCTATATATCTCTATCTATCTATATCTCTTCTGTGACACCTTGTTTCTCTGAAGCTCTTGTTTCTTCAACTGTATTAAATGCTTCCTCCTTTGGTTTTTCATTTGCCTGCCCTTTAACTGGGTGTTGATCAAGGCTTAGCTCTGGGCCTTTTGTTTTTGTTCTTCTCTTTTCATACTAATTCCTCTGGGAAGCATTCATTCTCATTTTTTAAAGCCACCATCTGTATGCAGATATTACTCAAAACTAAATCTCCAGGTTTTACCTTTTAGCCTGCTAAGGATATTACATATCTCAGAAAAAACTTGTCCTGCTAGTTGAAACTTATCTTGAAAGCTTAACTAAGCATCTTTTTCAAGAAAATAGGAACTCTTCCCTCCTCCTAGTTACCAATCTCCAAGTGACAATCACCAAATGATAATCTTGCTAATTCCTCTATACAATCTCTCAGATTCATTATTTCCTTTCCAGTCAGCCAGCCACCACCCTGGTCCAAACCCTTATTATCAAATTACACTGTGTACCTAAACTAAGACAGTTATCTTCTTAGCAGATCGCTCTGCTTCTAGTCTCTTTGCATTTCAGAGTAATCAGTATACAACTGCCAGAATATTTTCTTTAGTACTATTTTCATCTTTTACTTCCTTAAGGGCCTACAGTGTCTCATCTTTTTCAACTTCTAAGCCTAACACTCAAGGTTGAAAAGAATGAACCATTACCTGCCCTCCACTATTTTAAAATAATCACCATAAACTTAAGACATTCAAAGAGCACTAAGAAATAAACCAAATATGTAGTAAATCTTCCAATAAAACTCTAAAATTCAATCTAGTTATATTCTGATTGAAAATGATCATTTTAACAAAATAAAAATACATTTGTGTTTCCCTCTCCAAATTTACCTGTATACCAAAAACATCTCTTTTAAAATGACTATAATCAATGTATATATTTTTCTTATGTTGCTGACCCCATTTATTATCACTTTATACATACATCTTTGAGACTTCGTTGTCTTCATGTTTGATCATTTCATAACAATATGTCATGCTAATAGGCCATAATTTATTCAACCATTCCCCAGTCATTTGACGTGTAAGTTATTTCCAGTATTCTACATTATAAAGGAGATGTTTTTGAGTTTATATATCTTTCTGTTTTAGTGATCTATTTGAGAAGTACTCTCAACAATGGGACTGGGCTGGGCCCAACTGAGTTGTTGTATATTGCCAGACCAATTTAACTTTTTATAAAGAATATAGAGACCTACCAACAATATAACTAAGGTGCCTGTTTCCTTGCATTTCTGATTATATAGTTAAAAATGATAAAACAATTTGATGAGAATATGGCGGTATAACAAAGATGTTTCTGTTTGATTCCCACATCTGTTCAATTCCACCTTTATCACTCCTTGAGCACAGCCTCTCCACTACCAGCAAGTTAGGCGGATAAATAAATAGTTGTAGAATGAATATTCTACTTTTTTCTTTTAAGAACAAGGTAAAGGATGTGCAAGTAAAAGACATGGTATTTGAGAGACAAACTGGAAACTCAGTGTAAGCACCTTTCACAGAACACTATTCTCACTGAAGTCTCTTAATTTCAGGCTAAATATATTTTAAAAGTATAACCTACATGGCCCCTTAAAAGGCAAGCAGAACACTAGTTCCAACTCCAAGGTTCAAATAATGATCCGATCAGATTCTAAGCAATTTTATGCCCAAAGCACTCCCTCTGCCTAGGAATCAGAGAGGAAGAGCTAGGACAGCAGAGCACTCAGGGAACAAGTGGTAAAAGTAGCTCCATGCCAGAGACTGTCATCTTCCTCACATCTTAGCTTTCCACCCGATTCCTTTAGATGCTCCTTTTCAAACCAGGGTTTACTGGTATTTTTATTAGGGATATACTTAGCAACCATTTCACCTCGAACTTAACATGATTCAGTTGATGAATAATCAATATGTAATCAAATATTTTTTAGTAATTTAGTTTTGATTGAATCTCAATATTAAAAGGATGGGATATTAATTTCCAAGTTAAAGCCTCTGCTCCAGAAAAAAAGGACAGAAAAACCGATAAAATCTTATTATCCAAAATATATAATAAAATGATAAATATATATAAACTTAATAGCTAGATCCCACTTGGTAAATGGTTAGAGGTAACTAGAAACACATAAGGAAAAACAGTAGATCTTCACGTGGGCAAACACTTGGCCTCACTAATAATAAAAAATGTAAATTGAAACCGCTTATTACACATTTACACTTGTTAGATTTCTACCTATCCTTAAAGATTAAATTCAAATCACACCTTCCTTGATCCCCCAACTAAAAGTGACGTTCACCTTTTCTGAACTCCCCCAGCATTTTGTATTTCTTATTGTATAACATTCACAGAATGTTTGGTATTAATTATTTTTGCATTGCATCTCCCTTACAACACCACACATTCTTATAAAGCCAAGGAATTTATCTTATACTTCTCCTGCACACTGCCCTCATAAACATAACAATACCTCAATAAGTACTTACTGAACACATCTATTAAATTAGAAAAAAATAGATAAAAATGGGAAGATACAAAGAGCTTTAAGAAAACAGGTACACGTATGTATTGTTGGTGGTAGTAAAAATGGTACAAGCTTACAAAAATAAGCCCCAACTCACATTTTTTTAAAAAGGTAATGTGTACTAAAATATTGATAGCACTGCTAATAAAAGTGAAAAAAAAATAGAAAAAACTCATTCTCAACAGCAGGAGAGTGGCTAAGCAAACTATAACATGTTTAAAATATAGCTGTATCTACCTCTTAACATGGATAGGAGTGAGACCTGTGATTTCACTGGCAAAGGAAATAAAAAGGTGAAAAAACTTCAATCAATAAAGGGCAGCAATTTCTGTGAAAGTTACTAGTCTTAATAGAATTGTCTAGGATGCTAAGACGTAAGGTTATTTACCCAGGTTCCCACATATTTGTACAGTTATTCTAAATAAGGATGTGGGCTGTGTCAACATATGACAAGACAGAAGTATTAAAAAGAAGCAGAATAAGCTATGTAATTGTGAAGGAGGTGAAAATGTAAGAATAAGATTGGAAAATAATTTGAAATTATGAAATAGTTTATAGAGCTTAACATTAAACAGATCAGTTTTTTCTTACAAAGTTGTTTCAGTTTCTAATTAAAGAATAACCACAAAACCCCAAATATTCTACCCTGGTCAAAGCCACAGGGAGGACGCCCATAAGGGGTTATACTTTTTGTCCGTGGGAGTGATGCTGCCATTCACTGCTGTGCTATCTGCTGCTTGGATAGATGTGGATCCGGTTTCCTAAGGAAATAAATTAAAGGGTCATGAATTCAGAATGCTTATGGTCAAATCCCCATTGAAATATGAACATTCAAAGGAGTGAAACCTGCATACCTCTTCACATACTTTTAACTTCTTTGTTATTGCCTGATAACAGACAGCTGGCTAACAAGAGAAAAAAACAATCACTTATTAAACAGACTTCATCCTTCACTATAGAACCAATTTATAAACTTGTTGCCCCAAGAATAAAGGGAAGCATAAGAAATAAAGAACAAGGCCCTACCACTTGGAGTCATATTCCGAAAATACCTACTAAAACCAACTTTCCCTCCAAGTCTTCAAAGTATCTACATTACTAATAGACAAAAGCTTAGCAAGCTGCATACAATTATTTCACATACAACTTGCGGTTTTTCTAGATTCTACAGAATAAACAGTAATCATGTAACTTATCTGGTTAATGGTCACTAAAAATATGCCTTATGAGTATTGTGTTTACACATACAGATCAGTTCTAATGAACTACCTGATTAACTCAAGTGCACAACCGCTAAATCAATTCAAACAATCCATTATTCTTGTCTACATGACATCAATTTAACTGCTTGACTGAATAATGTCTCACCAGTTTGCTTTGGCAAAAGTATATATGGCCTAAGTGAATCCTGAGAATAATAGGATAACAGGGTAGCTCCTAAGAGGTATTACAACATGACATCTTTAGTTTGACATTTTATTCAGCACTGACTGACCTTTTTGCTAATCCTCTCTCACACAGCCTGTCCCTGACAGACTCAGAATCAATAATTCTAAAGATCAACTCACCTTCTCTGTCTGGCTGAGAAGAAAGTGATGAAAATGTGGGTCCCCATCTTTTACAGGCTGAAATCAGAAAGTGTCTAAATAAGCAACAGTTTATCTTCCATGAAAGGCACCTTCCCCATGCCTTGTTAACCTGACTTTCCTGAGAGACATTTAAGAGACTTCTTCTTTGTCAACTGTTTGGGAACTGTTCTGAATGTTCATTCCAACCCCTTTCTAAAATGAGAATAACACTCAGAAAACACATGCAATAATGGCACAAGAAAAGAAACAAAGAATGATTATAATCCAGGACTCATCTAATCTAAGAATATTTATAGATCTGTATTAATAATCACTTAAATAATAAAATATTAAGCTATACCACAGTTGGATCAGGCAATACGGGAAATCTTTTCTTAAAGGATACCTTGCCCTGAATGGTTTAGAGCAGGGGTGGGGAACCTGCAGCCTTAGACATTCATTTGTCTGAAAAAGGCACAGGACAGCACACATTTCTTAGTATTCCTTCCATTTCTGTGATTCTATGATATGTCTTTTGTAAGTAAATCACTTCCTTAAACACAGAGCCCTGTCTTGTATTATTCCCCCAGGAGTGTGAGATGATACTGCCTGTAGGAATGCTAAGTGCCTTCTTTTAAAGCATATTAGAAATGGGAAACCTTTTCTGAAATTGTTGGAATCATTTAAAGAAAGAGCTTATTACCTCACTTACACTTGGTTGCCATTTAAACCCAGCCATTGTTCCTGCCACCATTCCTTTCACTGTACTGGATTCTGGGATTGTGAGGTCCTAAAGGAAGAAAAGCCAGATTAGCAATATGTTGGGACAACCTGCATTATAGACATTATCTACCCATAATTCGATAAGTTTTATAACTCAAATGAGATTCAACCGAAACAGAATAGTTAGACAACAGAGAAGCTTTGGACTCATTCCAATGTCTAAGGAAGGGTTTTTATTTGCCCAAAAAGGCCTTACATGAGTAATACCTATTCTTAAAAAGGAAAGCACTCTGTGAACTACAAATCGGCATAATGAGCTATTATAAAGAGAGAACAAATTATTCGCATCAACAAAAGGAACTGCAATTTTCTTGCTCTCATTTCTAAAAGAAGTAAAATGTATCCTTCTGCCAATATATCACAAGAACAGTAATGGTAAGAAAAAGGAACAACGAACTGAAATATAATCAACCATCAACAGCAAAATGCAGTGGAAAGAACGTGGGATTTGGCTGCAGAAGACCTGTCCTGACTTGGGTGATGTCAGGCAAGTCAGAGTCTATATGGGCCCTAGTTACTTCACCAATATAATGAGGGGATTCGTTGAGATGATCTTTGAGGTCCCTTTTAGCTATAAATATACACTCTTATGACCTAATTTGAGTTAAAACAGTGACAAGGAAAAAACAAAACAGTAGTTAACCTATAAATCATTTAAAGTAATGGTCAGCTTTTTTTTTTTTTAAAGGCAACTGGGGTTAAGGGTCACACAGCTAGTACATGTCAAGTGTTTGGTCTGAGGCCGCATTTGAACTCAGGTTGTCCTGACTTCAGAGCCGGTGCTCTAGCCACTGCGCCACCTAGCTGCCCCAATGTTCAGCTTTAAAAGATGTTTCTGCAACAAAGGAAGTCACTGACAAGAAGAGAATTCCCATATACAAATATAAAGTAGTTATATGTTATTATAAATAAAATATTTATAGCAGCACTTTTTGTGATATCAAAAAACTCAAAACAAAAGCAGATGCTCGCTTATTGAGGAATGGCTGAACATATTATGGTACATGAACATAATGGAACATTAATTACTGTGCTATAAGAAGTGATCATGTGATGAATACAGAGAAGCATGGAAAAGTCTACATGAAGTGATACACACTGAAGCAAGCAGAGCCAAGAAAACAATATAAACCATGATTATAACAATGTAAATGGAAAGAATGACCAGACACACAAAATCAAAAGCGAATGTAGTAAAATACTAAAGATCAGACATGACTCAAAAGAAGAGATATGAAAACACACCCCCAACTCAATCCTTTGTTGGAGATGGGAGGTCCATAGGTATCACACTTTACACATGTTTTTAGACTTTTTCAAAGTATTAATCAGTTGTGAGTTTTTTTCTTTTTCTTTTGTCTTTCAAAACACTATTTCACTATTTTTCATATGAGATGGCTCACTAGGAGGGGAAACGATACTGGGGAAAACTATCATGATGTAAAAACAAAAAAGATAACAATAAAAACAACAAGAGCCAAAAACCTCAAAGCTGAATCTGTGTAATTATAATGATCAAGCTCGGCCCTGGGAGAAAAGCTGAAAAAATACAGTTCCTTCCCTTTACTGTAGGGGAGGAGGGACTATGGGTGTGAAACATCTAGTATTCTGTGTGATATAGTCCTTATATTGGTTGATTTTGGTAAACTTCCTTTCTCTTTCTTTTTAAATCTTTGTTTGAAAAGAGGGTTCACTGGGTAGGAGAGGGGAAGGGATATAGTTGGAAAGGAATGCCATGTAAAAGCAAAAAGTATCCTTTAAAAATATTACTACATTTTAATTTACATCTTTGACATTAATACCTCAAAATAAAATACTGATAATATAAAAGACTAACTAGATTCATATCTTTCTTTCCAAGCTCAGCATTTCTTCTGTAGCTCACTCCATGCTATGACCATATTCTAAGACTGATGCAAAGTATGAGATTAGTGGAGTTGCAAACTTGCTGGTTCAAACCTTCCCCAGGGCAGACAAAATAATTTTAGCTCTAAAATCTATTTAAGTTTTTCCAGGCTACAGGAAACAAAATATATTTTTAAGTGCTCAATTAAGCAAACACATAAATGTCATTAAATGTGAGTGTTAGACTACTTTATAAACGTATGACATTTTTTTCATCTTTGAAGTGTTCTGACATAGACTGTCATTTGATCCTCAAAGCAACCTTAGGGAGCAGGCAGTAAAGGTATCAACCTTATCTGACAGATGAAGTGGATAACCAGACGGGTTAAATAACCTACATAAAGTTATACTGTTAATGACATAAATGGGACTAATAAAACCTAGGTCACTTGACCCTTATTCTACTCTTTTCCCACCAACTGATTTGACTCTACCTTCAAAGCAAAGGTAATACTATATTTTGTTTTGTGTGTGCCCAGAGTTGCAAACCTCAATAAATTATCAGGAAATAAGAGTAACAAGAGAGTTGCTCCCCAGAACTCTCACGCTAAAGCTTGCATAAAGACATCCTGTTTCACCTACCTGTAAGAAAATGACTCTAGTGTTATTAATGCCAAGCCTTAAGAACAGCATGAATTACTGGAAACACTGAAACTGGAGTTAATACTACTATGAATTCCAATCCTTCCTCCGACACCTACTAGTTGAGGGACCGCAGGCAAGTCACTTACTCACTCTATGCATCAGATTCCTCACCTGAAAATGAGGGAGCTGGACTTCAGGATTTCTAAGCTTCCTTCCAGCTCCAAACCTATGATCCTTTAAGCTAATCTTTATTCTCAGAGAAATGCAAAGAACCTGTACCTCACAAGTTGATTAGTTTACTCCAGACTCTAATGAGTCACTGAATCACTAAAGTTCAATTACTTATTTCCCACACCTTACAGTACTTCTGTGACTAATTATTTGGCTTGAGCCCAATCTGTTCCATTCCAGCTGGGGAAAGTACTGCTGGCCTAGTTCTTGGACTAAATGACTTTACTTCAGTCAAATTAAAAGACAGGCTAAAAGCTGGGTTTTAAAAAGATCCCTGAAGATACATCCCACAAAAGCAGTAGTTTGGGTTTTACTTTCAAATTGAGTAGCTTAAAACCTCATTCCCACAAATTAAGAACTAAGATTTGAGTTCTTATATTGAGCTGAAGAAATTATCGTTCTTCATGGTCTAATAATAAGATAATACTGATACAAAATTACATTAAAGAAATGCAAAAAAAAAATACTGGGCAATATTGCAGGAGAAGTCATTCCTGACAGAGGAAGAAAGGAAGGTTTCATGGAAGAGAGCAATAATTTAGACTTTAAAGCAGGCCTGCAGAAGGGAATTAGGCCTCTTGATCACTTCTTAAAGGGCTAGTGAGTCATATTAGTTCTGTCTAAGAACAGTCTTGGGGCCTGAGGATGACCGAAGCCATAGTTATATCCTCTACATTTTTGGAAGGCCACTTGAAATTCCTTGAAGGGGTGCATGGGCTGAATGGTGTGCAAGCCTACTTTTTAAAGGATGGATAGGAACCAAATGAGTGAATTGGGAAGGAGGACATACCAGGTATAGGGATTAACCAGAGTAAAGAACTGGAGGTGGAGAAAGTACAGGGTGAAAGTAGTTCGGTTTGGCTGAAGGAGAGTTTTTGGTGGGGAGAAATAAGTTGGAAAGGTAAGATTAATGTCAGATCATAGATGGCACTGAATGTTGGATAAAGTTTACTCAGCAAGCAATCAGAAGCCATAAAAAATTTTTGGTCATGTCATGACCATACCTGTGCATAAAGAAGATTCATTTAGTAAGACTATCAAGAACGGCCTTAGAGGTCAGGATAACAAGAGAATGAAAGGAAGACTTGTTAGGAATCTGTAATAGCAGACGTGGGCAGTAACAGGAGCTTGTATTAGGGTGCGAGCAGTGAGAAGGGAGGAGGATTTGAGAGATACTGAGTTAGTAGAACTGAAAAAAACTTAGTAACAAGTTGAACATAAGGGAGGAGAAAAATAAAAAACAAGAAAAGGTTTCAAACTGGTCTTACTGTTGTTTCTCATTTGCTACATTCCATCTCCCATTTCTGTATCTTTGCACAGGCTGTACCCCATGCCTGGAGTGCATACCTTCCTTACTTTCCACCTCTGAGGATCCTTTGCTCCCTTTTGAAGCTCAGCTCAAAGGCCACCTCCTATATGAGTCCTTTCTTTCGTTTTCTTTTTTAATTTATTTTTAGTTTTCAACATTCACTGCCATAAGATTTTGAGTTCCAAATTTTCTCCCCATCTCCCCCGCCGCAAGACAGCATGCAATTTGATACAGGCTCTACATATACATTCATATTGAATCTATTTTCACATTAGTCATGTTATAAAGAAGAATTAGAACCAATGGGAGAAACCATAAGAAACAAACAAAAAAAAAAAGAAAAAAGACAGCAAATATGTTTTGATCTGCATTCAGACTCCATCGTTCTTTTTCTAGATGTGGACAGCATTTTCCATTGCGAGTCCTTTAGAGTTGTCTTGGGATCCCTGCATTGCTAAGAAGAGATGAATCTATCAAAGTTATTCACTGCACATTGTGGCTGTTAGTGTGTACGATGTTCTCCTGGTTCTGTTCATGTCACTCAGCATCAGTTCATATAAATCTTTCCAGGTTTTTCTGAAGTCTGCCTGCTCATCATTTCTTACAGCCAATAGTATTCTATTACATTCATATGCCACAACTTGTTTGGCCATTCCCCAACTAACGGGCATCCCCTCAATTTCCAATTCTTTGCCACCACAAAAAGAGCTGCTATAAATATTTTTGTACATGTGGGTCCTTTTCCCATTTGTATGTATCTCTCTGGGATACAGACCTAGAAGTGCTATTGTTGGGTCAACGGGTATGCACAATTTTATAGCCCTCTATGCATAGTTCTAAATTCCTCTCCAGAATGGTTGGGTCAGTTTACAACTCCACCAACAATGTATTTGTGTTCCAATTTTCCCACATCTTTTCCAGCATTTATCATTTTCCTGTATTGTCATGTTAGCCAATATGATAGGTGTGAGGTGGTACCTCAGAGTCGTTTTGATTCACATTTCTCTAAACAATAGAGATTTACAGCATTTTTTCATATGACTAGATAGCTTTAACTTCTTCATCTGAAAACTGCCTGTTCATATCCTTTGACCATTTGTCAATTGGGAATTGAATTCTTATAAATTTGATTCAGTTCTCTATATATTTTAGAAATGAGACCTTTATCAGAGACACTGGTTGTAAAAATTCTTTCCCAGTTTTCTGCTTCCTTCCTATGCATCCTTTCTTGATGACTGTAGCTACTAGTGTCCCCTGAAATTCTTTTATATTTATGTTTTCTACAAGTATTGTTTCCCCTGTTAGAGTGTAAGGTCCAAAAGTACATCTAGCACCTACTACAGTACCTGGCACACAGTAGGTGCTTAATACTTACTGAGTAATCTGGAATGCTGGATATGAATGGAATTTCCACAGACACAAATAATAAAGTGAGAGGGATGAACATATTTAGAGGGAAAGACAACCTAAGTATAAGAGGTACCAATGTAGTATTCAGATAGAGATGTTCTACAGGCAGTTGGAGATGTAGGTCTGGAATGCAGAAGAGAGGTCAGAGTTGGAGATATATATTTGAGAGTTGATACATAAAGCTATGAGTAAATGAAATTAGTGGGGAGAGAATGTAGAGAGAAGAGGGACAAGAAAAGAACTTTGGAGAAATATCCACTCTATGAAGTTGAGAACAGGGTGAAGAATCACTGAAAGAAAAAGAACAATTAAAGAGAAAAGCAAGTAGGAGAACCAGGAGCACATGGTTTGTTTCTGAAGTTAAGGAAGAAGAACAGATCCAGAAACGGGGAGCAGTTAATGGTATCAAATGTGCAGAGGTAATAAAGAATTAAAAAAAGGCTGGAGGATTTGGCATTTGAGAAGTCCTGGGTAATCTCTGAGAGCTTTTTCAGCAAAGTGGTGGAGGCAAAAGCAAAACTACAAATCAAATACGGAAAGAATGAGCAGTGAGATTGGGAAGATACCTGATACAGCAATTTTTCTAATTTTGGCAGAAAAAAAGGAAAGAGAGGTGAGGGTAACTGGATAGAGGAATAAAATTTTAGGGAGGTTTGGCGAGACCTGAGCATAGTTATAGGCAGACAGAAAGGAATCAGTAGAGAGGGGAAAACGGAAGATACGTAAGAGTAAGGATTATTATTCAAACCAGGTCCTGAAGGTTTCTGACAAGCATGAGATCAAGGTCACAGGTGGCAAGTGGGATTAACTTTACTGAGGAAGAAAGACACCTCTTTGTGACTGGAGAAACAGAAGAAGAGTCAGTGATGATGTTAAGAGATTCTGAAAATTAAAAGGATTTTAACAGGGCTTCCTTCAGATGGATTCAATGTTTTCAGTACATCTTTAAGAGAAAAGATGACAAAGGTTAATTTTGGATATGCTGAGTTTGACTTACCAGGGGAACACTCAGAACTACATATCCTCTATAACTAATCTGGTAATGTCACTGATAAAAAAAATCAGTGCTTCCCCTCTCTCTACCAAGTAAAGTTCAGAACTGCTCCACAAGGCCTTCCACAAACTGGCTTGATGAGAGGGAGTTGAAGCACGTGCTGTTGGGAACGAAACAGGGAGGTAATAAGAGGAGAGTTGAAGGAATATTGGGGACAGTGAGGGCCCACCTGAGGTTAAGTAACATAAATCTGTAATAGGTGAAACCAGTTGGCTCTTATGGTAGTGGTGCGAATACCTCACGAGGGAAATTTAACAGGCTTAGAAATGGTGGAAGGCTGGGTGTGTGTTTGTGAGAGGAAAAAAGATTACAGGTGTATAAGTATTCAAACATTAAGATAGCAGATCACCTGGTTAATGCTGGGTACTGACTAATGCATAGGGAATTAAATAGAAGGGGTCAAGGGATGACAGACTATTCAGCATAAATGAGGAAGGATAGGAAGCTATCATCAGAATTCAGGATCTTAGGAGCTTTATAGTTCCATGAGGTAGTAAGGGCAAAGGTATAAAGAATAATGGTATTACACGGCTGAAATAAGATAGAGGTCACTAGATTTGAGGAATTATGTGGCTAAGACTCCTCCTGGCCCTGATGTCACAGGCAGTAGAGCTAGGTAGCTCAGTGGATAGAGTCTGGAGTCAGGAGGACCCGAGTTCAAATCCAGACACAGACACTGAATAGCTCTGTGATTCTGGGAAATTCAATTAACCCTGTTTGCCTCAGTATCCTCATCTGTGTAAAAAGAGCTGGAGAAGGAAATGGCAAGCCACTCTAGTATCTCTGCCAAGAAAACCCCAAAAGGGCGAAATAACTAAACAGCAAAGAAGTAGAGGCCTCTGACGGTGAAAGTTGCAAAAGGATATGTTATTTTTAGGGGGAAAGATAAGCTTCAGCTAATATAAGGAAGTGGAAAGAATGGTAGGTATAAGTTTAAGAACGTAGGATCCCACAGCTGCGGTCCACAAGAGCAAACTGGAAAGGGCTAGGAGATGAGCAAAACCAGGCTGGACTCGGCCTAGAAGGGATTTTTAAGTTTGAAGCATCAGCATTATCCTCAACTCTTCACTCTTCCTCACCTTTGATAGCCAATCAATTGCCAATTGTTGATTCTACCACTACATCTTTTCCATTCGTACTGAGCCATAAAACCTTGTTCAGGCTCTCAGCACTTCTCATCTGGAATACTACAATAATTTCCCAATAGATTTTCTTGCCTTTTGGTCTCTTCCCTCCACTCCGAGCCATTGTACACACCAAGCTACAAAACTGATATTCCTAAAGCACATAGATGACTACGTCACTTCTCTGCTCAAGAAGCTCTAATAGTCTCCAACTGTTTCTAGGACAAAATATAAACTCCACCATTTGCCATTTTAAACCCTTCACCATCTGGTTTCTGCCTATACTTCCAAGTGTATCGAACATTTCTCTCCTTCATGAACTCTTTATTCTAGACAAACTGGCTTACTTGCTTTTCTCTGTACAAAACATTCCATATCACCTACCTCCTTGCCTTCACATAAATTTGTCCCCATGCCTCAAACACATTTCCTCCTTGCCTCTGTCTTTTAGAATCCCTAGCTTTCACGAGTCAGTTCAAGTGTCTTTCCTGACTGTCAAATTGCTAGTTCTGGCCCTCCTACTTAGAAACAACACTGTATTTTTTTTTACTTATCTGTTTATATGTTGTTTCATGACAACAGAAAGTAAACTCCTGAAGGGCAGGGATTGCTTGTTTTTTACTGCTGTATCTCCACAGCTTAGCACACAATAGATGCTTACTAAATGCTTAATGAGGGGCAGCTAGGTGGTGAAGTGGATAGGGGAGTCAGGAGGATCTGAGTTCAAATCTGGAATCAGACACATAATGCTCACTAGCTGTGTGATCCTGGGCAAGTTACTTAACCCCAACTGCCTCACCCAAAAAACAAAACAAAATGGCAAACTTTAGAAAGTATTCTAAATGCTTAATGAGTGAATTAAGGTATGCAGTATACAACTAATGTGGATGACTGTGGTTAAGAGATCAGTACACTGGAAGGCTGACTGGAGTGGCATGTTGGAAGGATGGGAAAACAGTCAAAACTTTTTAATAAGTCTACTACATAAACACATTATAGCTTGCTAATTTTTGAATTAGTCATTACCTTTCTCAACTCTACTTTTTTGTAAAAGAATATGACTGGTTTCAGAGACCTTAGACACATACAAACCTTCTCATCCTTTGGGGGGCGACCTCGCTTTCTGGGACTCTGTTCCTGGGCCCTTTTTAGAGGTGATTTGGAGCCTCTTTCCGCAGAGGCTGAAGATACTCTCTTCTTTCCTTCTCCCATATTCTTCCTTACTTTCCCTTCAGATAGGCCAGCTTTGCGTTTCTCATCTCCTGAGTTCTGCTTACTTCTTTCTTCACTGGAATTACGCCGATTTTTCTCTTCAGCAGAATTATGGGATGACTGAAGGATTACAGAGTAAAAACGGAGGGTAGATTTGTATTAGTTTCAAAGAGGCTGAGAGCCTACTGATTCACTGAAGAAACTTTGCAAAAAAGCCACAAAATATTTAAGAAAGGACACAGATTTTTTGGGATTGCTTGGCAAAATGGATTTCACATATAGGAGACAGCCCAGCAGGGGTAGGTTTTATCAGGATTCTACAAGCTGAATGACAGATTTAAGATTCAGTAACATTATCACATACATAATAGCCAGTACTGCGTTAAGAGTAAATCAAAAAGCATCTTACCTGGTCTTTGCTTTTGGCTTTTTTGAGAAACTCTTCCACAGCGTCCACAGCCTGCTGAAATCTTTTACCCTTATTAATCTTGATCATTTCCTCTTTATGGGGATGATATGGCTTTAGCTGTTCAACCTTGATCCAAGCACTAGCAGAAAAACATTGAAAAATTGTAATCTACAGTATGACTAAAGCAGGGACTTGAATGTAAATGTGACTTTTAACATCACGACAAACTTTTTAACAAACAAAACAATTTTCCCAACCCTAGACTGAACCCAAATATTGACTGTTTTACTGAACTCAGAAGCCATTCAAAAAACCCACCACAATATAAACATCCAATGAATCAATTTAGAAACATGACAGGCAAATTAATTTTTAAAACATTTTCTCAATTACATGTAAATTTTTTTTAACATTTAAAAATATTTTGAGGTCCAAATTATCTCTCCTTTTCTCCCTTGAGAAAGCAAGCAACTTGATATAGATTATACATGTGAAGTCAAGCAAAACCTATTTTCATATGGGCCATGTTGCAAAAGAAAACACAGACCAAAAAAAAAGCCCCTAAAAGAAGAAAAATAAAGTACAAAAGTATGCTTTGATCTGTACTCCTTAAGTTCTTTCTCTGGAGGTGGATAGCATTTTTCATTGTAAGTCCTTCAGAACTGTTTTGGATCATGGTATTTGCTGAGAACAGCTAAGTCATTCACAGTTGATTATTGTACAATATTGTTGTTACTGTGTACAAGGTTCTCCTGGTTCTCTGCTCACTTCATTTTGCATCAGTTCATCTAAGTCTTACCAGGTTTTTCTGACATCATCTTGCTCATCATTTCTTATAGCACAATAGGACTCCATCACAATCATATGCCACAACTTGTTCAGCCATTCCCAATTGACAGGCTTCTCCTTAATTTCCAATTCTTTGCCACCACAAAAAGAGCTACTATAAACATCTTTTTGTGTGTATATGTATGTATGCATGTAAAATTTTCCTTTTTTCTTTAATCTCTTTGGAATACAGACATAGTAGTGTTATTGCTGGCTCAAAGGGTACATACACTTTTATAGCCCTTTAGGTATAGTTTCAAACAATGTTGTTGAACAGAGATGGATGATATATGGTAACACTACCCCCCCCCCCACATCCATATATACATATCCTAACCATTACTGAAATGTGTTAGAGGATTGTGGGAGAATAAGCACAGTAATACACTGTCAGTTGAATTGCGAAATGATCTAACTAATTTGAAAATCAATTTGGAATTGTGTAAAAAAAAGTTACTAAACTTTTACTGACAGCCATTGCAGTAATAGGTATGGTACCTCAAGCAGGTCAGACAGCAAGGAAGATCCCACATACACAAAAATATTTGTAGCAGCAGTTTTTCTGTGGTAATAAAAAACTGGAAACAAAATGTGTTCCCACTGAATTAGTGACTGAACTGTATAAGAATTTAATGAAGACTATTACATTTTATGAAATCATCAATGAGGAAATCAGAAAAACAGAGGAAGACATACATGAACTGATGCAGATAAAGTAAATAGGACTAGGAGAAAAATATACAAATCCACAATAATGTAAATGAAAACAACACTAAAAGGGAGATGAATTCAGATTAAATGATGACCAATCTTGATGAAAGAAAATAGATGACTGTTTCATGACTGAAACAGAATGTGGCATACACTATTTGAAGGAGACAATTTTGTCTGTCAGTCTTGCTGTTGTACGGGAAAGATTCAAGGGAGAAAGGAGTGGTGAAATAAACTGGGTAATGACATTTTTCAAAAACCCTAAAGGGATCAATAAAACCATACCCCACGACCAACCTAACAACAAGAAATAAGAAAAAACCGAAACTACACATTTCTTTTTTGTTGGCATCCTTGGCATTAGAGGTTTATTTTTCATGTTTATCCAAGTCCACCCAGTTATACACCAATGCATAATCATAGATGCTCTTATATTCTGACTATCAAGCACTAATATTACCCATGTAACATGGCCATATAATGTTTTAAAATTTGGGAATATAGAGCCAGAACAGGTATCTTTCAATAATGAGTGTCATTTAAGAACTCTACAATTGAACTGGATTCAGAAAAGTTAATAAGCCTAAAGAAAAGCAATATCTTCTACAACGAACACACCCACCCACCCCTGATTCTATGTTTGAAAGTGATTTAAGGCATTTAGTAAATAAAGAAATTCTAAGGCATTTAGAATATCTGATATAAAGTTTGGAATGCGTAACAATGTGAAAGTAACAAAATGAGGTTTTCAAAGAGGAAAATTCTTATAATTTTAGGATAGAGCAGATTGGAATATTCCACGTTTAACCTCTACTTTGAAAAATAGCTAGTGGTTGATTTTGGAATATTTCCAATCAGTATTCAGACCCTTGGCCTAAACCACTATTTAGTACAGTGAATCGGTTTTGACTAGCCACTTATACTTTTTTTAAAAATTCCAAATCCTATACCCTTTTTCAATATCAATTTCACTATAAATATTTAAAAGTTTCGTAGTACAGCCTACAATGGGTTAAGGATAAAGAAACTGGGTTACTAAACCACCTCAAGGTTTTCTCTTTACAGAAATGCTGGCTGACAATAAACAATAGTAGTAAAAATGATGCCCATTTATATACAAAGAGGATACCAATGCTCTACCTATGATGGCTTATAGTTCTGAGCTACTTTTCCATTAATGCTGGTACATTTTCACTGGTCTACTCATCTACTCCTGTCCTGCTCCGTTTTAGGACTAAGAGCTGGATGAGGTTAGTAGGATAATCTATGGAAAGGAACACAGAAAATCTAAATGACACAAATGGCCTAGTATTCCAATCAACTATCATGTACATATCATATTGCCTTAATTCAATTCCTGCATATTTATTAAGCATCTACTTTGTACCGTGCACCACAGAAGGCACTGGGAGTTTATCAAGACAAAAATAAAAGTCTTCTCTCTTGAGAAGCTTACATACCAGTGGGCAGTTGGGTGAGGAAGAAGTGGGATATGGACAGAACTAAGTAAATTATAAAATATATACAAGATACAAAGTAATTTGGGGATAGGAGCACTAATCACTCAGGAGATCAGCAAAAGCCACTTGAAGGTCATGGCACCTGTGTGGAGACTTGAAGAGAGATAAGGATGCTAAGAATTCTAGGGGAGAGTTTGGAAGAGTATTCTAGACATGTTGAACAAGGAATATTGTGTTCCAGAAAACAGCAAGTAAGACGGTTTAGCTAGGAGACAGAGTGTACAAGGGGGAGTAATGTGAACAGTTTGGAAAGATGGGGTGCAACCAGATTGTGAAAGGCTTTAAATGGCAAGAGGAGTTTGTATTTTATTCTACAGGCAACAGGGAGCCATTGAAGCTTCTTCAGCAAAGTATGCTTTTGGAATATAGCTTTGGCTGCTGTGTAAGATGGATTGGAGAGGGAAGAGTTTTGGAGGCAAGAATATCAATTGGGAGGCTACTGTGATGGTCTAGGTGAGAGGTGATGAAGGCCTGAACTAGGGTGGTGGCTATGTGAATGAAGAGAAAGGGAAGAATGTAGGAAATGTTGTAGGTTAAGACTTGGCAAGTTACTGGACATGGAGGGTGAGAAGGAGAAAGAGGAGAGAAGGAAGGAGAGAGGGGGAGGGGGAGAGAGAGAGAGAATAGAATTACTCTAAGGTTGTGAAGAAGAGTAATTGGAAGGATAAAATGGGGAAGTTAGCAAGAAGGGTACCATTTGGGAGAGTCTAATAATTCCTTATTAGATTATAAACTCCTTGAGAGCAGGTATGGTGTCTTCTTCCATTTCTGCCTCTTCTCCCATGCTTATAATAGTACTCTACATAGAGGAGATACTTTATAAATGTTTAATGAATTGTTAAGTGAGTCAAGTGAACTAAACAGCCATTAATGGATACCACCTACTACAGATCATAATACTGAGCAGTTTGAAGATTCCTGGGGAATGACTGAACAAATTATGGCATATGAATGTAATGGAATATGTTCCATAAGAAAGGACAAAAGGGATGGTTTCTGCCAAACCTGGTAAGGCTTGTATAAACTGATACAAAGCAACTTACTCACTATAAAGAACATTGTAAAAAAAAAAAACAAACCATACTAAAAAGACGTAAGAATACTGAACAATGCAATGACCACTGGAGATGAAACACGCTACTCATTCCCTGGGAGGTCATGAATAAGACATATATTTTCAAACACAGGCAATTTAGGGTTTTGTTTTACTATTCTCTGCATATTTCATATAAGACTTCTTTTTTTAATCTTTCAATTGGAGGGAGGAAGAGAGAAAGGTAATAGTGACAAGTTGCCAAAATTAATTTTTAAAAAAGAGGAGGAAAAAGTATCATTGAAGCACTTAAAAATGCACAGAAGAGAACAGAATGAAGGTCAGTAGGAAACACAAACCAGGATAGCTTTGAAAATAACATGTCTGAATTTGCTGTATATTTGGAGTTCACAAACCGTGTATGGTGCAGATTTGGAACTGCATGCGCAATCCTCTTTTTCTGTTTTGTATATGGAAATGCTGCTCTTCTCTCAGTTCAAGAGACAAAAATTTTTCTCTATTTCACAGGACAAAAGGACGAAATATGTTACTAACAGGAAAAAAAGGAATCAAATTTTTGATCCATGTTTTCTGGCAAGTATAACACTATACAGATATTCCGCCTCTCTTTATATGTATAATTTGTTTTTGAGGGCAAGACCATTGTAAAATAAATGCAGAAACAGATATGCTCCCCAAAATAAATTAAAATGGCAAACTGAACTGTGCCTATTTTAAAGATCACACAATTCTAAAAGGTATAGGGTCAAACAACAACAAACCAACAGCACTATAGTGTAATTATGGGTCTTTTTCCTCAAATTGTGTCTGGTCAGAAAATGAGTAAATAATGTTCTAAAGTCTCGCAGATGCTCCCTTTCTAAGTTCAACATAATCTCCTTCCCATCAATATTTAGCCTGAATCTTTTTACACCAAATCCAGAACATAATTACATTAGGAATTTTCAAATTTCGTCAGTGAAAAGACTGCAAAAACTTCCTTTCCCATCTACTCTTTTTTGACTCTGGAGGGGAGGGAGAATAACA